TTCTTTTTTTTTCGTTGATACAGGCTTGTTTACTCTGTTGGCTGTTCGCAGCTGCTTGTTTGCAGCTAGATATAAAGTTTTAGCATGAGGTGACAACAAGGAGTGCCTTTTAACTCCTACCAAAGTTAACATCCCCTCATTGGAATTACATTTCCCTAAAAAAAGAAGAAAATCTATATTTTAGATATATCTTAAGATTGGCAGTTTAATTTAAATATTACATATTTCACCATTATAATTACCTAATGTTCTGCTTTCTACCACTTCTTTTACAGTATCTTCATTTGATGAATGATTAACTTTATAAAATCCCTCATCATATTCTTCATTCAAATGTGACAAAGCGACATTTCCCTTGGAAGTTGATGGTGCATTTTCAATACCTAAAAAAAATTATATTTATTTTTAATAAACACTGGATAGATACAAGAGTTATTCTCACTGCATATACACAATTTAGTTAATGATCCCTATTAAAATAATATTCTTTGATTTTATTTACCAAATAAACGTTTTGCAGGGTAAATTTTTTTTGGTTTGGAAACAGTCAACTCCTCAATAGGTGATAATCGTGTAGGTTCTGAAGTTCTTTTAATTGCATCTACAAAAATATACAATTAAAAAAAAACTTGAATATTTAAAGATATTTATTACCTCTAACTTTTTCAGGTGTAATCATTGTTATATCTTTTTGTACTTCCAAAAAAGAACTCAACATTGCAGTATCTGTATTTTCTAAAAATGAGATAATAAATTAATATAAAAACAGTAAGTAATTATATGTTATGCATACTTTTTAATTTTAATGATGGCAATGAGTTAGATAATAAAATTCCATTTGCCTGAATGCATTTTGAATGAAAATGATTAGCACACACAACATAATATTTTATATTCTTTTCTTCAGTTTCTGACAACTTTGGATTTCCAATTCGTTGGAGCCATATGTCTCTAATAACTTTATCGGTCGGAATATGATATCTAAAAGTATATTAATATGTACAAACTGAAAGTAGTAATAGTTCAAAAATGGTTTAATTTGGAAAAAACAATTGTATATACCCACTAAAATGTTATCCATTACATATTTCTAGTATAATTCTAAAAAAAATCTATTTGAATCTTCACATATCTTAAGACAAAATTGTACAGAAATTATTATAAAAGTTAGAAACATTTTCAATTTAACTTAGAAAATATCGGCATTTTTTTGGAAATTTACTCTACAAACTGGGTACCTTCTACTGTTAATATATATGCTCTTAAAATTTGGCAATGTATTTAAAAATAAAATACATACAGAAGTTGGTGCCGGTAAATAGGGACACTATATTCGCATAGTTGCTTAATGCAAAGGATACTACTTACTTTTTTTGATCATTTTAACTGAGGAAAACGAAAATAGCCATAGTAAATAAACAAATATTGTGTTTTAATCAGAAAATAAACCATTTTTTTTGATATTACCTCGTAAAGAAAATTGTAAATTTATTTATTACCTGCGGCTAACTTTATCGTGGCAATCGGGAACGGAGCAAGGACGAATCCGCACCATAATTTACTATGTTCAAAACACTAAAAATATATAAAAACGATAAAAACTCTAAACCATGGAGGAAATCTAAAAATCTAAACCCCAGTATATATACCTAAACAAAATCCCACAAATCACAAACTACAAAATAGAGGTTATATTTGCATTGCGTTCGGTCTGCCAAGTTCCTTTAACTCCTTTAACACTTTTAACTCCAAACGACCCTTTTAGCGTTAGGTTTAGGTTTAGTCCAATGAACTGGAGTGGGGTAGAAAGCCAATGTGCATATTGTATCAATAGAACAAGATGCGACTCTATGGGCGCAGCCATTTTTATTTCTCATCTCACTCAGGAGTATTTATAATAACCATTTTCTCTTTCACATTGTTATTGTTCAATCCACATGCTGGTGGATCAGACAATAACAAAGTGAAATAGAAAATGGTTATTATAAATACTCGCGAGTGAGATGAAAAATAACCTGTCTTTGCCCATAGAGTCGCATCTCAAGACTATTGACAAGCATTCTACCCCACTCCAGTTCATTGGTTTAGTCCGATTAGTGACAGTTTAACACGCTTAAATGTCATTTAAAAGCACCCTAAAATTTGTCCCGCTCCAGCCCCTGACTGACCGAACTCGCCTGCATTGCGTTCGGTCTGCCAAGTTCCTTTAACTCCTTTAACACTTTTAACTCCAAACGACCCTTTTAGCGTTAGGTTTAGTCCGATTAGTGACAGTTTAACACGCTTAAATGTCATTTAAAAGCACCCTAAAATTTGTCCCGCTCCAGCCCCTGACTGACCGAACTCGCCTTTGGTTATATTGCAAACAAAATGGCTGCTCGAGTGCTCGGCACAGAACACTAGGTTCTTTCCATTGATCTGGCAACCTAGGGATACGACATACGTAATCGGAAAGTGGCACCGGTCCGCCATTACTGTGAGTGCAAATTGTCAAATTTTATAGGTTATATTTTAGTGTCATTTGTGTTAATAAATTTGTATTTAATTTGTATTTGAGCAAATTTTGAGTGTTACAAACTTATAAAGTTTATAATGCCTTGTTGTGTTATATGTTCCTGGTCTAGCGATAGTCGTTTTTGTAAAAAATCTACTGGAATAACGTTTCTTAGGTTAGTATCAAAATTATAAATATTATACAGGACAGTATTATGACATGTTTGTATAAAATGTGTAAAAGTATGCTTTTAAAAATGCAAAAAAATATCATCTATCAACTTTTGGCCCTACCTATATTGGAATAATACTTTTTCATATGAAATAATATTTATAGATTTCCAGAAAATCCTGAACAACGTAGCGCGTGGATATTTTGTCAACAGGCATAATTGGGAACCTTCTAAATTCAGCTGTATATGTTCCAAACATTGTCTTGTATGCCATTTCGTTTATCAAATTTAGAGGCATTTTATTTTCTTATTTCTATTTAAATATAACCTACATTTGCTGCTTCCACCAGTTTTATTTATATTAGTTCTACAGCTGATTGAAAAGTAGAGCTTCATGTTTTGTGTATGCATGAGTATTGTTTGTTTTATTATAGTTAATTTAAAACAATATTAATAGATCTTTTTAATTGCCTATAATTTGTTTCAGATTAGTGCATTTAAAGGAATTGGTGAAAATGAAGCGATTCGCTAGCTTTGGGGATGTTCCTGTAAAAGTGACATCGAAATTATTCAACGTTTCCAGAATTAATTATTAAGATTGATGTACCCTTGTACTGCCCCAATACTGATCTTCATAGGGACCTTAAAGTTGAGACTGTTGAAAATACAATACAAAAATTTGCCAGTAGGTAATCACCAACAATGACTGCTCCAACATGGAAACCTCGAGTTTATCCAACTCCTCAACAATGCCAATCTAATAAGAAGACTCAAGAGAACCAAGCCTTTTGAGTTAGTTATGTGATGTTAAAGCAGAGTATAGTGCAGTTAAGTGATTTAGACTCTAAGGTATACTAGAGAGTAGAATATCAGTTTGTGAAGTTGTTCATCCCTTGATAAGTTAGAATAAAATTTCTAATTGATCTTTAATGATTAGATTGTAATAATCATAAATGTTTCTTTAGTAGGGGCATTTATTAAAAAAAAACTATTTGCTTCAGATTAGTGCATTTAAAGGACTTTATGGAAATTAAGTGATTTGCCTTTATATTTTATGAAACAATGTTTAAAAATTATTTATTTGTTTGTTTTAAGAATCAATGTTTGAGTTTTGTGTATTTTAAATAGACATGTGTATTTATAAATGTCTTTTTTTTAGTCTAATAATATTTTAGAAAAAAAAAGCTAGAATACATTTCTGAAATATTACTATTTAATATCTCTAAAAGATTTCAAATTTTTATTTCAGAAATATTACAGCATATTTTTACGTTTCAGGCACATTTCAGAAATGTTTCTGGGTTGTTTCGTAATATTTATACAATTAAAATATTTCAATGTAATATTATTGAAATATTTCCGAAATGTGTGTGCTGCATGGGAAAGTCCTCAAGAATAAATTAAAATCAAAAAACGCATTAAGATGATGCTTCTCATTCTTTTATTCCTAGAGTGATAATATCTGCTAATTGACTTACATATCTCTCTCCCACAGAAATTAGTAGTTATATTTAGATTTTTCATTAATTATTATTAATAATTTAATAACTGTAATATGTATTATTGTATTGTTTTAATAGGCTCTGGCCCATACATAAATCATATACCTCCATTCAAAAATAAAAAAGTATTTTCTGTTGTACTAATTTGAACACTAATAAATACTTTTAAGTCAGTTAATAAATAGTTTTTAAAACACTTGTAACATTTAAACATTATAAATTCATAATTATATTTAATTTTGTTCATATTAAAATGTTATTGACCTGTTTATTTAGTAATAATACCACAAGTGCTATTATTATAAGCAAAAAACACGAAATTATATAAAGAATAAAAATCAAACAAAAACTCATTTCTTCAATAATTTTCGCTTAACTATTTTATCTAAAAAAATTCATCACACTAATTTTTGATCAATTTAAATTAATCTGACATTTGTTGTCACTGTTGAAAACCTACCAACTATTGCTGCATCTGAATATCCACATCTGATGCATTTTTTATGTCTCAAGCATTTGTTTATCCACATTGGACACATCTACTACATCTGCTTTTGTTTATCCGAGATGTAGCTGTCTAGATTACATTTTTTACATCTCTAAAATGATCAGTTACTTATACAGGATGTTGCAAGACGCACTATATACTATACACTATTTATCTTCACATTCTTTGTCTGACTTTCAATCATACATGCATGGTTATTGTGCATAGACCAATTAAATTGGACAGGCACTCTTGTGGTGATGTTGTTACTATGGTAGGCCTTTACATAAGTAGTCATAATCTCTGCAGATGGTGAGAAGCCCAGCTCAAACCAACCACCATATTATCGTTACTGGATCTATAAGTCTCAAGTAAGATCACTTCATATTTTACATTTGATAGAAGTGCACCTGTGTACCTACCTGCACACCGCTGGTTGTGGCTTCGCTGATTTACTGAATGTCTTGCATGAAGATACACATCTTTCAGTCTGAATCTACAAAAGAGTACCAAGACCAAGTAAAATTAATCCACATTTTGATTTCCTGAATAGTGCATCTACCTACACAGAGATTGTTTATTAGCCATTTTCCTCGAGCCTTTTAGTGTATGAACATTTGTTCTTAATTTCGAGGAAGCTGTTAATTAAAGTAAGGTTAGATTACTTGACATTTGCGACCTTGTACTTTCCGATTTAAAGATAGAAACAGAAAGCATTGGGCTACGTATGTGCCCTAGTGAAAAAGTGTGACGACTGATCCAATAAATCGAATTCGCTTTATTTTTGTCGCTTATGTGAACCAAAAATGTGCTATTTATTTTTTCTGTGAATGATTTCAACGCTTTAGGATTATTTCCACCATTGTGTTAAAGTTTAAAAAACCTAATTGAAGATTAAAACTTCATTTTATGTAAAAATGTCATTTTAAACTTCCTTTAACCCAATGGTGGAATCGGCCCCAAGTTAGTTATATCATGATCATTGATTAGTTGCAATTTTGCAAATAATATATTCTCCAGCACTTAATAGTCACACTTGAGTGATAATTAAATCAGTTATATTTTATTTCTTTCATTTACTTTATTCAGCACCTCTCGGCTGAAAACCGGGTATATTTAAATCTTTAGACCCCCTTCTTTTGTAACCTTGGTCTTCCACCACCTTTTAAGTCAATGTGTAAGTTTTTATCTATAATAAAGGAAATTCATTTTTTATAGTTCAAATAATGATACTTAACCAGAAATAGTACAATAAAAACTTGTAAATCCGGTTCTGCTCTTCCGCCATTTTAGTGAGTGCAAAAGCCACGCCTACCGGTCCCAATTTTGTATATCAAAAATAATTACATATGACGTATCCTTACGTTGCCAGATCAATGGTTCTTTCGTTCGTCCCACTGGTGTAGGAATGAACTACACCAACGTACACTAAACCTTTCGTTTGGCCCGGTGTAAAACCCACTATTGTGCACTATACCTTCCTAGGTATATATACTGGGGTTGCCCAATGAACTGGAGTGGGGTAGAATGCTTGTCAATAGACTTGATGTGCGACTCTATGGGCGAAGATAGGTTATTTTTTATCTCACTCGGGAGTATTTAAAATAGCCAGTTTCTATTTCACATTGTTATTGTCTGATCCACCAGCTTGTGGATTGAACAATAACAATGTGAAACAGAAAATGGTTATTATTAATAGTCCCGAGTGAGATGAACAATAAAAATGGCTGCGCCCATCGAGTCGCACCTTGTTCTAATAGTACAACATGTACATTGGCATTCTACCCCCCTCCAGTTCATTGGGGTTGCCATATCTAAAATCTAAACGTCAGTTCCCACTTGTCACTTTTGTCAACATTTTGACAGGTCGTTGGAATGCCTACCTAGCCTATGAGAACTGATAAGAACGAGAACAAGAACAAACTGATAAATGATAGATGATAGGTGATAGACAGGGAAAGGAAAGAAGATGAGATCTGAGTCTGAGATCCTTTGGCGCTGTCGCTGTCTATCCATGTTGATATTTTTTACTTTTTGGAGAATGAAATATTCATTAATTTGAAAGACCTATTTTAGTATAAATTTTGAGCAATATAAAAGTGAATGAGCTGAACGATTTGCGTATTATATTACTAAACTACAAAGAAGTGCTGTTATACAACAGAAAGAATGGTTCGTAAACGATGTAAGTTCAAAAACAATTTGAAAAATGAATGAAATTTAAGTAATTTGTATTTGTGTTTAGGTAACAACCGAAAGAAGGATCCATAATAATTAAAAGTAATGGATCTGGTGCTAAAAACAGAAAATGGTACACCTCGACTCATTGACACTGGTTCCAAAAATCTCTCTGACAATTCTGTTTCTGAAAAACCAAATGTCGAACCTGAATCCTGTGAAATAAACATTGGTAGGTAAACCTTCTACTAACTCACAGACTTTAAAAATCATTAATTACACTTAAAATACTGCATGTCCGAATTATTATTTCAAATTATGTACACTTTAATTTTGAGAATATATTTTTACTAATATATGTATTGATTTTAATGTTTTTTTCAATTTATATTTCATATTCAGCAAATTTATGATTTATGGCAATTAACTTAATTCTCAAAAGATAGGTATTTATTTTTTAATTGGCCTTTTATATTTTTATCTTTACTAAAACTAATTTTATATTTAACAATATTCAAATTATAACAACACAAAAATATGCTAGCAAAATACTGTCTGTTTTTAAATCATACCTGACTTAATTCAAATATTTTACAGTAAAGCTTATTCAAGAAAAACATTTTTAGAGCTCATTTAAATTAGACATAACCAAACTTCAATTTTCTTTCTAAAGCTTATGAAAAAATTAAATACATTAAATGCTGCCTTATAAAGATTTAGCAAATTATTTTGAATTTGTGGTAGGTATAATTGAGAATGCTAGACAAGGCTGTATAATCTGAAATATTAAATATAGTAGGCATTATTTACGTAAAGTTGGACCTGCGAGAGTGAGTTCCTAAAAAAGCTTTTTGAAATTTTTAAATTAACAAAGAAATGCAAGAAATTGAGATTTATTGTTTTGACAGCTACAGCTTCTTTATTTGGAAGAAATTTGGGGTATAATTAATTTGATTTTTAAATTTTATGGGGTATATTTCTTCCTAAATAAGATAGTTCATTTAAAATAAAATAATTTCAATATTAAATATATGACATATATTATAAACCAACAAATGTAGACACTGAAAAGTATTTTACATAATAGTGATGACAGCTTTTTTGAAAAATACAGAATATAGGGCAGTTAACTACTATTTTCAATATTATGCCTTAACTAACAGCTAAATTTAGGAGTTAATTACACTTTTTATTTATAAATTTAAAAATATTATTTTGATTTATTTTAAGAGTTTAAAGACAAGCTTCCAACTCCAAATATACTGGATAAAGCATTCTCTATAGATGAAAATGAACTCGCCACACCTTTAGAACCTATACAAGTGGAATGTTTCCCAGTTACTAGCAGCAATGGACCTATTAGTGATGAAAGTACCTCAGACAGTAGGTAAGACAAAATAATTGATATTCAAGTCAAAAATTGATTTCCATGTTTTTTTTTTAACACTGTATAATTGACTAGTTTTAGGATCTGAAATTAATTTTAATTTTTTTTCTGCAGGTTGATTTTTTCTTTTGTTTTTGCTGTTATTGCATCCTATCAAATTTTTAACCAAGTACTTATGAAATTTGTTTATCTATATTATATAAATGTGTTATCTCACTTTTTGATATAAAATTGTCTAATAAACTAAATTTTAAACAAATATTTTGATTCAGTTTAATTATGAATTCTAATTATTTTGTATTTTCAGTTATCAAACACAGTACAAATTAAATCATAAATTATTAAAGGAACTGGTGTTTATATATATCTTCCTGTTTGGGACACTAATATCAGCAAATCATGCTCTATCTATTACATAAGTCTCCTATCAAATTTACAGTAAAATAGTTGCAAGGGTTGCAGCTATTTGTTATTAATAAAATTCTCTTTTATTTATACTCACATACTTTTATTTTTGTATGCAATGGCTGATTAAGTAAAATCATTTATGTAATGTTACTTTTATTCTTTCTGAATTCCAATCATAAGAAATTTTAATTGATTTGAGTATTGATATATCTCAATCTTTCTCAGGTTTTATCATTGTCAACAAACTAGGGAAAAACCCAGCAGAATTTAATTAGTCATTTTTTCATGCATTAGAAATGTAAACATTATCCATTTAGGTGTGCCTGAAGATGAAGTAACAATTTTGAAACCGGTCAAATAATTTTGTGAAAAATATATAATCTTTTCTTTCACCTTCTTACTCAAGATTTTAATTGTTTGATTTTTATTAAATGAGTAGGTACCCTCAAGTATTTTGTTTAATGGAATTATTTTAGTGGAAAATCAGATGAAGATGATGGTTATGTGGAGGAAAATATCGAAGACAGCACAACAGAATTTGAGGAAAATTATGCTTCTGATAATATGACATTGGACCCCAATGGCTTGTGTGAATGTGAAGATGAAATTTTAAAAGACACACCAACTATAGTGATCAATGAAAAAAGGAAAAAATGTTCCGATAGTCTAGATACCATTCCAGAAAAAGATACAGAGACTGAGGTTCTGCCAGATATACAAAATAAAATTTCTTACTCTTCTATTCTTAAAGGGACACCTTCAAAATACGATCCTGATTATTTCATAAATAACAACAGAAATAAAAGAAGTGTGTCATTTCCTGCAGATTTATCACAGCTAGTTAGTTTCTGTGAACCTGATAACTATACAACATGGACCATCCGTAAGTTTTACCTAATTCAAGGTATCTTATCATAAATTTTCTTCTATTCCTATTTTTTTTATATGTTATCTATACCTAAAATTTTCTTCTATGGTTGCATTTTAAGTAATTAAAGCTTTTAACTTTTTTGTCTATATTAATTTCCATATTTATTTTGCTCTTTTTTTATCAATATTTGCTTAAACTCTGTTGCAAGATTTTTTTTTTGGGTGCAAACAGTAGAGGACTAAGTACCCAACCCTATATTAATCCTATTCTGTTTCAAATTCTATTGATTTTTCATTTTGTAATTTTAGAGTTTCTATTCTTTTAATTATGTCTTTCCATGCCTATTTTCTCTAAACATTTCCAAATGGCATTTCTTTTAATTTTGTCGAATGTGTTTTCTGTCCTTTTTCAAGTAATGTTTTTCCTAACTTTCTGGCTACATATATTAAATGTTAAATACATCTAATTCTCCTGTATCCATGTTGTTCTTTTAGTGTTTACTTCTTTAATAATACTTAAATTATTTTAGTATTCTTGTTAGAATATTTCTAGTATGCTGGTCAAAGTCATATATTATAATTTCACTTTGAAAGTATTTTTTATTTGATAAATATATTTTTTTTAGAAAGAGAATTGTCATCTGAAGAAATTCTACAAATGTATCAGAATTCTTGTAAAAAGCACAAAACTATAGAGCTTGACATAATTAAATCCCAAATTCATGTAAGCATTTTATTAAATTAATAATAACATAATCATAAATCAGTTTCTAATTTCAGGATATAAAAAACAATACAAACCATTCAGCAACAATTAAGCTACATTCAATCAAAATAACTTCTGAAGTAAATGAAACACTTGAAGACATGTTAAAAGTTACCAATTTTCATACAGTTATCCTTAACGATTGCAAATTTACTCCAGAAACTTTGAGCGAATTTTTAAATATGCTTGAATATTACGATTCCACGTGCCACCTTGAAGTTGAGATGATTTTTGAAGATGAAGATCTTTGGAAGACATTTTGTCTCGCTTGCACGAATATCATGTCTTTAGAATCTTTGACCTTTAAAAAGATGGACATTAATGAAACTTATATGAGATCTCTTTTGAGTGCTGTCAGAAATAATTCTAATATTACCATACTGAAGTTTGACAGCTGCATACTCATGAAATTGCCCAGTTTTTATTTAGGTTTGTATTACTTATATTTAATAGTAAATTACATAACTAGAAGTTATAACGTGGTTTTTTTACTAGCAGGGAAAACTTATAGAGCTGAGAGTAATCATTTCAGCATTTTTGACAAATTTTTTTATAACTACTACATTTTTAGAAAATGATTTTTTATTTTTCTTATATTACATTGAATATTTTTGGTTCTACAGCTGTGATAAATCTTTGGTTCTTACACCTGGTAAAATATGTGATTTATACAAGGAGTGCTAAATATTTAAACTGCAGGTTCAGGACTTTAAAATATTAATATTTTGCTAAATAACAACTGTTAGCTGAGATATAGGGTGTTAAAGTTAAAATATATTTTTTGTCACGGATGGAAGATGACTGACTGGAGTTTAACCATCGACGACGTGACATGAATGACGGTGAATGAGTGAGTGAATAGAAAAGTAGTAGGATCTTCAAATGGTGGTACAGCTCTGTAATTTTGAGGTTTTCACAGAACTATACTTTTCTCATTTCATCCTGTCTTTGATCTCCCAAATTATATTCTATTCCCTAGGACATAATATTGATTTTTTGTTTCAGTTGAAAGTTTAATGACCAATAGAACAATTCGAGAATTATACCTGCCGTCTACGGGTCTTTATACAAAGGAAGCTGAAGTTATTGCTCGATTTTTGATGAATAATACACACTTAAAAGTTCTTGATATAAGTAATAATTTTATTGGTGATCGAGGACTGGAGTCGCTAGCAAGAGGACTTTGTACACAAAATGAACCCGGAGTTGGAATATCGGCCCTAAGCATTTTTAATAACCAGATTTCAGAAAAAAGTGGACCAATTATTGGCAATATTATTGTAAGTTATCCATCCAGTAGAATTTTGGACATAAAACATTTGCGTTTGTGTTTATTTTATTATTTCATACAGTCGTTTTTTCTTTCTTTCTTAATTCATTATTCTTTTGTTTTGTTTTATTTTGCCTGTTCTGTAATTGGAAATATCCTATAGAACAGTTTGTAAAGATAAATAAATTAAACTTTAAAATATATTTAAATTTTAATTTGTGCGTTTCAGAAGGATTGTAAAAATCTGCACACTCTTAATATTGGTTATAACAATTTGACTGATGAAGTACTTAAACATATAAGTTCAAGTCTACCCTTTACTTGTTCGCTTGAAGGGCTAGGGCTGCAGTGTACCTTATTAACATGCAAAGGACTGGATTCATTGGCAGAAGCAATTCCGCTAAATCATTCGTTACAGAAAATAAATTTTAAAGGCAACAAGGCCATTCAAATAAACGGAGTTGAAAAATTGTGCCAAGCTTTGACCAATTCCAAAATTATCAAGATCGAAATTGATGAAAATAATCGTTCATGCAGTGTTAGTAAAATATATACTATTATTATAATAATTTCGTCTTAAATAGTGAGTTTGCTAAGTTATTGTATTATTTTCTTAGGATCCAGAAGCGTATTCGCAGCTAGTTAAGAAACTTAATGGGATTTGCACAGTTAACAAATCTTTTACAGAACATTTGGAAGAGCAGGATTTGCCAGATTTATCCTTAGTAATATCCAGGAAAATGTCTCTTAGTTGCGAACCGAGATATACGATTCCTGAAAATACTTACCAGGTAATTTGTATTGCGAAAAACTCGCTAGGCGAATATTAGACCTATATATGCAAAAAAAATTAAACATCTATATTAAATTTTATTGTATTTTTAGATTGGATCGCCAAGGTTATCGCCTATTCCCTCTCCTGCAGCAAGTCCTGCTCCCAAAAGTAGGTTTGAAATTGTTAAAGTGGCAGAAACAAGCAGCAGCTGTAGCAGTACCAGTGTTAGTCCCAGTCCGAGTCCCAGTCCCAGATCAAAATCAAGGTATACAATAGTAAAAATTATTGAGTAGTGTTTTGTTCGTTTTCAAAATTTGATTGAACAGCTCATTATGTCAATTGATACCTTTATTTTCTACAATGTTCAAGATTTTTCTTTCCCAACAATTTTTTCTTCCAATTTTCTAGGATTAATCATTCCATAAAAAAACTCAAGGATAACTTAAATGCTGTAAAATATCTGCAGATTGCAACAGTTGTTACTTAAGTGGTAGTATTAGAGTATAACAATTAACTATTGAATTATTAATAACGTACATCTGTTTCTTGTTCATATTGATCAGTGCTATGTCCTCCCAGTTTTTCTGTAAGATTTACATTTTTTTTTGTTCTTTTATAGATTTCATGTAACTACTGTACCGCCGTCTCCAGATGAGGAAATATTGCTTGGTAGATTTGCAAATGTACGAAGCAGCGTTTCCTCAAATGATAGCATGGACTCTCTGGCCACATTACACTTAGATAGTGATAGCGAGTAGGTAAAACTGCCTGTTCAAATTATACCAGTTATTGACATATTTCACAAAATAATGTAGAAACTGAAAATTCTTTTTGTAAAACTATTTTTTTTTATGAAAAATGTCAAGCTATAAAAGACATCTATTTTTGTCAATGTAGTACCTATATTCCGAAAATATAGGAACATTTATGAGGTTTTAAAGTGAAAAAAGTACCCAAAAAATATCTCGGATTTTTGGATCATTCTGTACAAAATAATTTATTATAATCATGATCCAGTTAGTGAGAATACCACTGTAGTTTTTATTTTCATTGGTATTAGTTCTGTGATAGAATGTGTTATGTTTAGAGCTTTTCGTTAATTTTTTTTATTTTCTTTTGCAATGTGATTACACATCTTATACATTCATAATGAAACGCGCTGTATTACTGCTGTAGCAGCTCCGTTAATTGAACATAGATCGAACTGTAGTTTTAAAAACTAAGGCGTGCTATTGGTGTTAGTTTATTGTTATTTATATGATTAAAGTTGATCAGTTTGGTGAGTCGAGATGATTAGTTCTCGGCAAATGCTATAAGTACCAGTAATGTTACAGCACCTAAAAATAATTATTGTGACCTTTCGTTGCCTGTTTAATATTGCAAATAAGGGGCGTAAATAATGTATATTGAAGACCCTCAAGGCAGCCTCTTTATTATCAGCTTTTTGTCTCAGTTTTTCATCCATAATTCTTCCTGGAAGTTATTCTTTGATTGCATATATTTTCTCAAATACTTATTTAATATAAATATTCTACACTTAACAGTTGTACTAGTATGTTTTTCTTTTGATCTTCTTGGGCTATAGATGTTGTTTTTGATTTTAAATAAAAGTACAGTTTTACCTTGTTTTGGTAAGGTAAAACTAGTGTTTAATAAAATCAAACATCAACTTCGACATGCCAAGAAGATCAAAAGAAAAAGTCAAAAATAAGGTGGAAATAAACAAGATATTCCCAAAATGGATGGTAAAATAAAAAAATTTACTAGTATGGTTTGAAAAATATACAAAACCAATTTAAACATTATTTGGACAACAATTTTCGAAACACCATCTCGCCTAGTCGTCGATCATGCATAGTTTGTTCATAGAAATACCTTTGTAGACATGAACATTTTTTGACCACATTTTGTTGCTTCTTTGAAATTTGTATAATTTGTAAGGAAACAAACAAAAAATTACTTCGTGTGGTATTTGAGAAGATTATTTTTAAAAGTTCTACAAACAACATTTGATTTGTTGCTGTAAAATGAAGTTGACAGTGATGTCGATTATGTATATTTGAACAACAATGGATTTTGTCAATTTTTGTCATCTTTTTGACAACCTTCACAGTGACGTTTCACAGAACTGAATGAAAATACTGCATCAGTCAGTGTATTCAGATGCAGTTTATTTTAATTAACATGTGTTGGATTGTCATTGCTTAGTATGCAAGAATAGTGTCACTACTCAAAAACATAAATTTCCGAGGACAACCATTTTGAAGTTTTTTGTCTTCTGTAAAGCTTGCCACGATTTGCATTTAAAAAATGTTTAAATCTTTTTTGGGAATAAACATTAATGTTCACCTTGTATTCAAATAATAACAAGTTTGCTTTGATAAAATTAAGAAAAACCGAATGTTCTAATTTATTTTGCCAAGTTGAAAAACTAGACATAAAACTACATACTCAATAATATTAATTACCAAATGTAGAGGCACACCTTGAGGTGAAGTGTATATTTTAACTCTCAACAATATGCATACGAAAACTATTGAAATCATATCACTGAAATGCTTAGAAAAAGTTTTCTGACTTCATATTAATTAAAATTGATACATGTTTAAGTAATATAATATGGTAAATACATACAAATTTATAAAAAAAGATTATACAAACTATATGAGATCTTCAACTATTAAATTACTTTTTGAGAATTTTTTTAAAGATGGTTAAATTATTTATCCAGATATTTTATATAAAGAAAAACTATGAAGCTACTGACTGACGTATTTATTTATCGAACATTTTTGTATGACTATACACCAATCGAGCATACTTTTTATAAATAATTGATAATTGATGATCTCTTTATTATAAAATTTTATTTTTCTATTCTAAGGAAATATTTCAAGTACGTTGTGGGATAGATTAAATATTTAAAGATTAAGAATTACGTTAATTTAATTCTTTTTATATCTAAATAGAAAGTATACGTTACAATCAGTTGAAGAAAGTTTAACAAGAACATGCATATAACAGATAGAGACTTCGATTTATGCTCACTCCATTACATACATCAGATAAAGATTTATGCGCAACGAGCGACAGCAGGCTCTGCCTGATTTGTGCATAGTCCTATTATACCTTGTTCAAATCATTGTAAAGTATATTTTCCGCGTTGAAAATTCCGTATCTGTATAAGGTTTCTAAAAGATCTGTACAAAATTATATCACATGTTCTTTATACCAAAATAATTTAAAGGTTTTAACCACACTTTTCTTTGACTTATTCCACCTGATTTGCAATCACCTGGGCACTATCTAACAAACAAGTCTTCAACAATATTATTATTTAAAATATGTCCTGTCTGACCCTTCAATTCTAAAATTTGGTACGTTCACTAAGTCCTACCAAAATTAATAAATTGTTACATTTAGAAATGAAGAAATTGATGAATTTCTTTATGATAAAAATTGATTAATAAGTGTTACAACACAACAATTTTTTTTAAATAAATGAGGTTGAGTATAAGAACAAACATAATAAAAACTAAATTATTCATATCTATATCAATTTGTTCATTTATCGCTTCAATTGTCAATTATTGTACAGCACGCATTACCAAATTTTAGCAATATCTCAAAACCCATTACTAAGCGTATTTTGGTCCAAGAAACATGTAGAATTTTGTACAGAATTTTTAGAGATTAGAGTAATTGGTGTAATTTACTAAATTAACACCTTTATTTTTTAAAATGCTACACAAACTTTTTGTTTGAAATGAAACAGATTATAATTATCCTGTGGGCCGCCATCAATTTGACTTTATTTTTGTTTTGAATTGTAAAAAAAATAGTTCTCCCCAATTCAATGATACCAATTAAAAACCTTACTTTATACATCGGGTGTCCGCTAGCGACTGCGGATGTCTTTATTTCTGGTACAGTTTACGTTGGAATCTTTAATTTTTGAGGTAAAAAGGTACCATTTGGCAACGCGCGACAAGCGACGCGAGACCAAGACAGAAGGCGGTAAATATTGCCATACTAAATCTGATGTCGTCGGTCGCTTCTACCGAAATGTGTTTCATATAATTACATGTGTTCAGACGTGAAGAGACCGTTTTAATGTCTCCCTTGCTGTCGCGGCGCGTTCTGAAGTTGGTCTCTGCCTCGGCTTGGGAAATGGTAGCTTAAGGCATACAGAATCAGCTAGATTTTTCGTAGTGAATAATTTTAAATTAAAGCATCTCAAAAAGTAACCTATTTCGTAACTTTTTTTTATTATGGATGTACTTAAAACCTTGATAATATATACAGGATGTCATTGAAGATTTTGACGTGAGGGCAGCTTGGGGCGAAAAGGGGAGGGGCGGTAGAAAAAACTATACTCCAAAATTTCAAGATTGCAACTTGAATTTTAGAAAGTCATCCGAAGTTTGGTGGAAACCTAGATACGAAAATTTCATCACTGGGATTACCTTCTAATGAATTAAACAAGGTATAATAGGAATATGAACTTAACAAACATCAACTTCCACATCTGCTAGCCTTACTACTTGCTAACAGATACAAATAAAGCGACAGCGGTCTGCCTGCATATACCTATTATACCTTGTTTAATTCAGTTATGGTAAATTCCCGTTTTTAAATGTTCGTGCATGTATATCAATAAAGTGCTAAAAAAATATTTTTTGATGTCTGTACCTAAGTTTAAATGCTCTTGAATGTTGATTTTTAAGATTAAACAGTAAAATAATGATTTCTATTGTCAAATTTTTGAAAATTTTATACAATTAAAAGATATATTTAACACAAATATATATATATTTATAAGCTATTTGTTAATTTTGGTGATCAAAATTAGCAATTTGTTACTTTTCTCAGGTTACAAAACTTAATTACCCTTAGATAGTAATACATAGAAATACGACATATATTATATATAAACTTATAGACCCCTATATTTTTATTATAGCTTTCCCAAATAATCCCAGTCCTGGTTAAAATTTTAAAGTTGTTGAAAAATATGTGCAGCATTTTATTTTTTTGTTTGTAAAATTATGTATTATAGGCTACATTGGCTAATAATCTTTTTCTGTGGTATAAAAAATGTTTTGTAAAAATTTTTTTTTATCTTCTAAAACGAAAGTTTTTGATGTTTTGCAGCTATATATGTGTATATACAGTGTTGTCTACTTATGTTGGAACTATATGGAAAACTTTTTTATTATTGGTTTTGTGAAAAAAGTATTCTTGATAAAAAGTTCTACATGGTCCAAAACTTAAAATGCAACCATCATATATTAATTTTTTTAAGCCGTATACGAGGTTTGTCAAAAAATATGAGTAAAGTACCTTTATTTTTGACAAACCTCGTATACGAATGATAAAATTTGATATGCGATGGTTGAATCTTAGGTTTTAGACCATGCTCGACTTCAACTTTTTAAGAGGAATAATAATAAAAAAGTTATTCATAAAAAGTCGAGCATGGTCTAAAACATGAAATACAACCAACAGATATCAAATTTTATTAGTCGTATACGAGATTTGTCAAAAATAAAGGTACTTTATTCTTCAACAAAATTCATATTTTTTGACAAACCTTGTATATGGCTTAAAAAATTTATATCTGATGGTTGCGTTTTAAGTTTTGAACCATGCAAAACTTTTTATCAAGAATAAATTCTTTCACAAATACAATAATAAAAAAAAAGTTCCATATGGTTCCAAGTTAAGTATATGTATAAATTTACAATTTTGTTTTTTAATACTTGTTATTTTTTATAGTTTTTATTTTTAAATTTCGAACTGTTTTATTTTTATTTTCTATTATCGGTGTTAAGAACATTTTACTTAAATTTAGCATAAGCTTTTACAAATTATCATTAAGTGTGTTTTTTGTTTTACATTATAGCATATTAATGCTATTTAACATTATTAAAATAAGGGATACAAGTTTAAAAATTTAAAATATATTTTTATATTGATGTTAGATATATTGGGGTGTAAAAAACTAGTTCATAGAAATTTTTGGTACAAAACTTATTAAATAGTTCCATAATTAACAAATATTTTATAGTTATTATACCATTTGCGCATGCACTTATGCATTTTGTTAATATAGTTATTTATATTTCTGTGTATGTGATAAATGGATGTGATATTGTACAATATCGTTAAGTATTTTAACAAATAACCACTATTGTAGATTTACCGTGTTTACAATAAAAATGTATGTTTCTGTAAATTGCGTTTTATTTTTTACAAACAATGATTATGTAATAAATTAACTGTTGTTTCCAATTCCATGCTTGTGACTTCACTTTCTTCTGTCAGCAAAGTCATGTACTTAAATAACCAGACTCGAAAAAAATAAAAAAAAAGGTTTATCCAAAAAGTAATATAGTCATATATATGTTTTTACAGATTTGCAATATTTTGGTTTTGTTTTTACGGATGGATTTTTTTGTTCTATTGTGGCACTTCAGGTGTTAACATATCGTTGCTAAATGGATTCCTCACTATTACCAGGATATATTTTTTAATTTGATAATGTGTCAATAAAAAGATATCGCAGAAATAAAACACAATATTTTGGCACTCAACAAATACGAAATCTGCATTTTTCCATTTTGTACATAACCTTTAAAAACAACATTACCATTTTTCCTACAGAGTTATAGTGTATCTAGACTGATATATACAGGGCGACAATTTAAAAACTTACAATGGTCAGTTCTCATAAACTAAAGATTATATTAGAATATATTAAAATCATTTCTACTTAAATGGCAAAATAAATAGAACGTATACTTTTACCTAAACTGTATTTTTGACTTACTCGATTCGTTTTCGCATGCGAAATTGACGTCACTTGCGAATAGGCATATTTAATAGGTTTTGCAATGACATGACGTTTATTCATCTCGTTAAAGCAGTTTTATACTAGGTTTCTATTGGTAGATCATCGAATTTTGCTGAAATAATCTACAAATCTTCGTAAGGTTGATCTGTTCGCAAAATATTTATCGAAGAGAATTCAAAAATATACTTTCCTTGACGCATGCGATAAATGTCATATGCCAATTGACGCATACTACTTTTAGCGAATGGTTTCAAAAATTAACGCCCAGAACGTTTGCAACTTTGCAGATCTGCAATTATGGCGGCAACTTTGTAGATCTGCAAATATGGCTGACTTACATATGCAAGTATCAAGTTTTCGTATTCCAAAAAAGATCTGCAAATTTGCAATATTTATTGTGGTTTATTACCCCCAACAACACTAAACTCAAATCCATTACTATGTTTAAAAACTCGATAATCTGACACCATGAACTGTATTCAATCAAAAGAAACAGAAGACTTCATGGTTGTAGGATGTTCTAACCTTCTTAAGGTTGGATTTGGAGTTGTTGGGGGTAATAAACCACACTAAATATTGCGAATTTGCAGATATTTTTTGGAATAAGAAAACTTGATACTTGCATCTGTAAGTCCGCCATATTTGCAGATCTGCAAAGTTGCAGACGTTCTGTAATCTCACCCTTACCTAACTTAAAGCTATTCCAAGCCGCAAAGACAAGAAGCCTGTCCTGGAATAACGGGGGTAATGAGAACAACCCCCACAGCAGCAGTGGAAGCACTGAAACGATAGTCTTTATTTTGTGATACAAGGGAAGACAAGATTAGATGCTTACAGATTAGGGACCACCTTGGGAAATATTAACAGTTTGTTAGTGACAGGGGGCGTGTTAGACATGAGAACAGATCACCAAATGTTACTCCTTTAACAATCCAATGCCCAAAAACTGAAATAATTAAATAACATAATCCTAAAACAAATAGAGGATATTCGTTTTTCTATAAATGATCAAATGATGGCCAATACTCATAACAGCATAAGATTTTTAAGAATCCATATGATGAATATCTGAATTAGCATAACCACTGCCAACAGTTGATTTCAAATTTAAATTCAGTGAAATTTGTTTTCATTTTAATTTAAAAAAAGTACTTACTGTAAAAAGGTTATGTAGCCACTTATACGCTCAAGTAGATTCTAGATTGAGATATGGTGTCTGTTTCTGAGGAGAGACTACTAGTCTATAATGTTTTTATTGTTCAGAAATATATCATTAGGTATGTTGTCAATGTTTCTAAATTTATCTTGCAGAGAAATATTTAAAATATTAAAGATTTTAATTTTTGTGTATATTTTTGAGAATAAACTGAGATTATTTACTCTCCTGCTCATAGCGGACCTAGGATTTTCAATAAATTGGCCGGAGGACATTAAATCCTGCAGAACTATTCAGGATTTTAAAATAAAATTGAAATAGTTTTTGATAGAAAAATGTTTTTATACAGTAAATCAATTTTTATCGACTACTTCCGTATGTTTTTTACGAATTGTTTTTATTTGATAGCAGATGTCCAAGTTTTTACAAATAAAAAATGAAATATTAAAAATACTTAATTTTTCTATGAACATTGATATAAAAGTCTTAAAAAGAGAGCATAACTAAAACAGTTAATATAAGTTAATTGTACCTAGCTCTATTTCTAAAATTATTGTTCCTAGGCAATGGCGTTTTAATCTGCTGTACTTCCCCGTCATAGTAAGTTGGCCTTCGCTGTTCCAAAGGATTCTGCACTATACCCTCGAATATTATATTTTTTGTCTCTTGATGGTATATCATAAAAACGAACGGACGATCTGCTGACACTGTTACTGGCTGCATTAAAGGTATTATCATGGCACTAGTTGATGCAGCAGCGACAGTTCCATGTTCATCTACTTCTATCTTTGTCTTGTGCAATAGATTGTTTACTAAAGCATTGTTACCTTGGATAATTTTAGACAGGTTTGCTTTGGGACCGAAAACATCCCTGATTTTTAGCTAAACAATAAATATAAAATTAGTTTTTTCCAGTAAAAGAACAATAACAATGAAAAAAATCAGATTTACAAAAATACGCTGAATGTAAATAAATTGGTCATTACTTTAGCATCTTAATATTTCTTAGTACCAATACATGTTCAAGTACCACTTTTAAATATAATGAACATTATGTTACTAACAATAATGTAGTTAGTATATACGTCCATATTAATGTTCAACTTATATATTTTGGTGTAAAGTTATTTTGTATGTATAATATGTATTGATTTATTTGAGATTTGATTCTTTCCTGAATTTATATTACCTATTAATTAAAAAAGAACTTACCTGTTTCAGGTACTCCACTAAATCAACAGAGTATTCAAATGAAAACTTAGGTATCTCCAAAACTATTTCTGATTTGGTGAGATTATTGAGTATACTGGTCAGTCTGTGATGAGGTAGATCACGAATTATGCTTCTTACGTTCGTATCTGAAGACGGCAAGATAAGCAACATGGAGAATTTATCCTGAAAAATTTTTTTTTATCATTTTCAATGTAGGTAAATTATTTTTTCGGCATTTATTACAAAACTAATGATATTGGTGTGCATTTTTTGTATTGGGAATTTTTTTTTATTATTATTTTATTCAATGCTAATTTACAATCTACTTCAATAAACTAATAAGTAAATTTGATGGAAGTGGGTGGCTTGAGGCAGGTGTCGTCCACTGAAGACTCTCTGGAATTCACCTAGCAGCTAGAGGTCTTCTGGCCAGTCTTTTTAAGCGTCTATCGATGAGCGGAGGGTTAAAGAGTTCGACTATGAGGTGGTTTGAATGGTTTTCATTGCGATTCATATATTTTCTGGAGTGGTGGGTAATCACATCATCTATGAGTGGAATGTTGAGGTCTGCATGAAGGGTTTGGTTGGACATTCGAATAGTCTTGGACTGGAACGTCTGTAGTATTTTAGTGTTAGATGGTTTGCTGCAGCCCCATAGCTCGATTCCGTATGTTCAAACTGTTTTGAGTATTGCTTTATAGATGACCATTTTGTTTTCTAATGAAAGTTTCGATCTTCTGTTGATTAACCAGCTCATATTTTTAACTTTTAGGTCGAGGTGCCGTCGTTTAGCTTTGACATGTGATTTCCAAGTAAGTTTTTCGTCTAAATGAAGTCAAATAAGGTATTTTACTTCTGTATTTATTGGTATAGGCGTATTATTTAAGTATAGTGGACATCTAATTCTTCGATTTGTGAAACTAACTTGACAGGATTTGTTGGTGTTGACTTTAATTTTCCAGTGACTAAGCCAATTTTCTAGTTCGTTGAGGTGAATTTGCAGTTTGTTGAATGCTCTTATTTCATCTGTGTCTGATGCTAGTATAGCAGTGTCATCCGCAAATGTTGCCATTAATGTATCGATGGCTTAGAGCACAAATGTTGTATGTCCAGAAATGTCATTTTGAGTAAAATCGATTTGAAAGTTGGAGGTGACTATGATGAGCTGTTTAATTTTTATTAGTATTACTTTACTGAATGATAAACCTATTTAAGTAGACGTACTATATTTGGTAACCATAAAAATTTCATCATGAAGGATATAGAAAAAATACTATATTTTCCTTACTAAATACAGGAAAATAAAAGGAAAAAACTTTTAAAAGACATACAACTAATAACAATGAATGAAAGCCAACTAAAAAGTTCAATAAGAACTCTGGTTTCACTTCTCTGTAAGTTTTGTGAAACCAACGGCGTTAATACGAAAAAAATTATGATGAGAGAGATGTATAAATACGTTGGGTTGTATACAAGAATATCATAAAACTTTTTTACATCAAATAAATATGATAATTATTGCGATTATTTATTTTGCTTAATTTACCTGATATGGTATTTCCACCACATACGCCCTTAAAGTGTTAATATAATTATAATTAAAATTATTAGAAATATGCATCATCTGCACTTGTGTACATCCCTTCGATGGGATGTGGAAACATTTTGGAGCAGTGCTCCTTTCATCAAAACTGGTTTTCCACTTTCCTTTGAAATATAGAGCATTAGAAATAATTACATATGTCTCTGGGCTTATCATTTCTGAAAAAAGAATCGGTTAATAGGTAATTATGTATTCACATTTTTATGTTTATTGGCACTTACGTGACGAAATAACTTCGTTTATGTTGCCATGTGTAGAGTCTGAAGCCCATTGATTAATTACACTGGCTGCATATTGTGGATTGGAAAAGTCAAGGCTCTTAAAATCGGCATTGTAATACTGCATTATAATTTTCTTATAACTATCTAATAATCTTTGTTTATTGGAAGTGAAAATAGCATTGTGGCTTTCTAGGAATGTATTTGCTGTCCCTTTCTCCTGAAAATACATCAATATAATTTAATTAAATACTTGTTTTTTATTCAGAAGTAAAAAGACCATGTTACGTTTATAATTTGTGTATTTAAGTAGCCCCGGGTAGATGAATGCTTAGACCTGCAATCGTAATTCTACATTCTTCTAGTATTTACCGGAATTATAAAAATGTACAGTTTTACTTTAGTTTTACTTACGTTTAAGTTATTCAGCAATTCTAATATAATATGTCTTGCTCCTGTTTGAGTTATATCTGGTATCCTTAAAGCTTCGCTAATTTCCTCAGCGCAATTTCCACTAGCTCCTTCCAAAATCATTGCCAAAGTTGTTTTAATACTTGCAGGGGATATTAAAACATTATTTTGCGAATCGGTAAATGCCTATAAAGAATAGTTCAAAATAATATATTAGTTGTAAATGTAAATAATTTGACAGTTTGTTATATAGGCTAATAATGGAAATATGTTTGAAGGATCAAAAATTTGAATAGACGGTTGTCGGAAAAAATAGATCAATTATTTTATTGGAATTACCCAGTAAACCACAAATAGTCGGCATTCGCTCGGCCTGACACCGGCATGTACGTGAAGCCGTGTACTCGGATTGCCGTTGTCGGTGCTTCTTCTGACCGTACCATTTGACGTAATTTAAAAGTAAAAACCGCATATGGTCCATATTTGGCATTCCAGACATGGGAAGCATCCTTACGGGCTGAATTATATATATAGATATATGAACAGTGCTACAATTTAGTGAGCTCAGAGCTGCCGACATTCGGCTGGGTGGACATGCCTTACCTATATGCCGAAGCCTTATTCGTATATCGTGGCGAGTCCGGCATCCGGCAAGCTTTCTTCGGCCCAGTTACGGGGCCGATAAACTGTGTTTATTGGGTATTTCATTTTTTAATTAATTTATTTATTTTTAAATGAAATAAAAATGCTGATTGCTTTGCTGAAAACCAGTCTGAATAATAGCTGAAAAACTGTTCCTTTATCTACAAAGTCGCTGTCAGCGCTTCTTTTGCCTACTTTAAATAGCTACAGGATGATTATCTTCTCCCTTTTTAGCTGTCAAACTAATAAAAAGATGCTTATACAGGCAATTAATTATACTTCTATTATTCAACCTATAATAGTTAAACTGCTTATTTTGTTTGTTAAGTATTATTATTTGTAGTGGCGCTTCGGGGTGACTCTGGGATCTGAAGCAGAATATCGAGGTCTGTAAATGAATACCGGCCGCTCGACAGATTGGGCTACCGTTTTTTACCGATACTATACAGGAGGTTAAGAAAATTTTGTTTTGGGCCTCAATAACTTTTCCAAAACATGTATCTTAAAACATATTTCAATAAACAAAAAACAATACTCACATTTAATAACTCTATGTCGAATAAATTAAACCTGTAGGCTACATCTTCCATGTTTGAATCAGCGGGTTGATAATATTCTGGATCTAGGTTAGGGGATAAATTGGTAGGTGCGCCAGAATTAACAGGTGGTCCTGCATCATTAAATCTATTACCTGAGGCAAATCCGTTATTTGGAAGACTGCCTTGATTATTTCTATTTTGGTTTGGATAGTATTGAGCGTTTCCATTGTTTGCTAAAAATAATTTCCAGTACAATCATTGTATTGTTAATGAGCTAGGGAAAATGTTGTTTAACTCCGCAAATAAGTTGTCAGCTTTTCTGATGAAAGACATAACAAAGAAAACGCATTAGATCGTTTTTATCTAGATCAGCGATACTCAAAGTGTGCTCCGCGGAGCCCGTGTCCTCCGCAAAGCCTTTGTGGGGCTCCGCAAAGAAAATAACAAAAAAAGCCGTACCTATTGTTATAACGGGACTTCGTTTTTTTTTTTAGAGGGAGTATGCGAGGTAAGCCAGGTATCGGTATTTTGTCTTGGAGGACCTTTTTTTTATTCAAATCTACGAGTTCGGATGTTGAAGCATGTGCGTCGATAGTTTCAAATGGTAAGAGCATGCACGAGCATGGACAGATACAGTCCGATGATTCAAGGTTCGATCCCTGGTTGATGCACACATTTTTTCATTCTTTGATTTTCAGGGGGAATTGGGGATTATTCATTTTCATATTTTTAATTATTTATTTATTTATTTATTTTTAAACTCTCTGTTCATTTTTATTTACAAAAGTAATAAACCTTTTATGGAGTTAAAATGAACAATGTTGTAGAAATTTGTTATTCTGAACAAAAGTGTCCATAATTTGTAACGACTCAATATTTCTAAATTCTACTCTATAGTAGGCACGTGTCAAATTTTTAATACTTCGTGTATATGGATATATATATAGTGGGGTGTCAAATTTGAAAAAAAAAAATTTGTTATTTTTAATTTATAGAAAATTTTTATTTTTAATTAAAACTTTTAACATTCTGTATCTCGATAAATGTAAGCCCTTTAAGGGTTCTTGTTCCTATATCAAAAGTCATTCATTAACGAGAGCTATTGTCGGTCGAATATACTGTATAACAAGCATTATTCGGATGTCTTTTTTCTCTCTTCATATTATATTTAATTTTGTATAAATATTTAATTTAGACTTTTGTATCTGTAGCATACTAGTATTAAATACAAAAATAATAAGTAAATAAAATAATAATAACAGAATACTGCGTCGTTTTATTTTTTTAATTAATTTGTATTCGACTGTTAGCTGTTATAACTAAATTTTTGACTATACCTATATAAATGAACTATTTAATTACATAAATAAAAAAGTTTTTCTGATGTATGATAAACATGTAGATAATGATATTTATAATTAAACTATGCTAATAGTAAATGCACAATAATATACCTACCTACATACGTTGTTAATTTTAAACATACCTACAGAAAATATAATAACGAAATGAATATTTAAGTTATAGTTATTGTTACTGATTCAGAAATAATTAACATAAATTTAATATTTTTGTCATAATTTAGGTATCACTGAATCAAAGTTCGATTCGAGTTAACATTTTTATTGTACACGTCATTTTAATATCAAGTAAGTTCTTTTAATAATTGTCATTATTCGAAGTTAATTAATAGAATAATTAATGCAAATATTGAAAATTTTACCTGTATGTCTACTTTTGTCGTCAATAGAAAAGAAGTTAAAAAATTTACAAACCAGATTACAATTTTCCTTTTGTGCAGGTAAAGTCTGTGGTGAATTTGAGCACGAATTACCTGTTATGCACGTCAACAATAAATATATAATTAACATTTTCACTTGAACTATTAATTAATGTTTAGATTTTTGTTCTTGCACATCACTTTTCGAATTAAATATTAAATGTCGAAGTAGCAAAGTCTCATGTGGAAGCTAATTTACAAGATTATTATATTTTTCAACAGGCGGGTTCAAAGTCATTTCCAAGAGGCGTAGGAAACAATTAAATATAAATTAACACTGACTCATTCAATGTAAGTTCCTAATAGCAGGAAATTCAACCACAATATTACAATTATTTTACAGGTAGTAGGTACCATTTTTCAATAAGCCGGCGCCGGCGGATCGCTAATAATTCACTAATTATTTAATTCCGCTCTATTTCGTGTGTCCTTATTGTTACTTTCTTTTTTTGAGCTACAGTTCCGTTCTATTAATAACATTGAATGTTATACATAATTGCTAATATATTTAATGATTTAATGATTTTATTTACTTCATATCTTTATCTTTGAAGTTAAACAAAAAATCGGCTATGAGTAAAAACAAGAATATTATTTAAGGCATAAAAATACATTAAATAACGTAGAATAACGAGTAAGCAAAAAAAAAGAGATAAAGGACGTAACAGAATAAGAATTGAATAAATCTAATTGTAAATTGCATACGTTAGGATCACAATAGATTAGAAACCATAGAAATTGGAAAAGAAGAAAGAAAAAGTAATATTGACAGTAGAAGAAACAAGTTAAAACTTTTATTGGGATGTACAGTAATGGAAGAAAGTAAAACAAGAATTGAAGAATAATCACTAGTGTCAGTGATGAACTTCAAAAAAGTCTTTCAACATAAAAATCTGCGGAAAATATCGAATACGATAGGCAAGTGACATATCGTTAGATTTGGAGATCTTTGCGAATTGACATGAAACCAATATCTCAAATATACAAACGATACAAATTTGGTGTATAACAAACAGGCAATAAAACATGGATTTATTTATTCTAAGTAACAAGATCTTTACCGTGTTTCAAAGAAAACGATTGCTCGTTTTTGTCTAAGGTTAAACATGTTATTACTATTGTTGCTTTAGAATAGAGAATGGAAAAACAAATTTTGATTGCTTGAATAATTTCCTGTCCGCAGCAGAATTTTATATAAATAAAAATTTCCAAGGTTTATTCGGTCATGTTTTTATTTTAGCGCACCACTATATATGTTTCATAAACATTTTTTCCATTTTCGGGTGCAGTCAAAATTTTATAAAATTTGGGGACGTTTAAAAACACTTTAAATTTTTTTTTTATTTTTAAAATAACAAACCCCATCTTTTAAAAAAATGTTTAAAGTGTTTATAATCGTCTCCAAGTTTTATTAAATTTTGACTGCACCCGATAGTTGGAAAAAATGTTTCCGAAACATATGTAGTGCTGTGCTAAAATAAAAACGACCGAATACCTAAACCTTGGAAATTTTTATTTATAAGAAATTCTGATTGGTATAAAAGTCCTATTATAACAAAAAAAAAGGTTTGTCTTTAACATATTCACGTCCTCGTATAACTGCAGATATTTTTTCTAATATTAATTATATGTTTACTTGTTTTTTTTTATTGATATGGCCATGTCTATGTAACACCTCTGCTTGCGTGAAGACTATAACCGACAGTTAACCTTGGAAATCCCAGTCTGGCGTAAATATATACGATACGACAGTTTAGACTATGAAAAATCCCCACTAAATGCCAAGAGATTTTAATGCATCACAATTAATTACAAATTAATTATTTTTTTATAGCCTCAGGTCCGGAACAGAATAAAAATATGGACTACCTAGGCCTAGGTACCTAAGACATAAAAACAAAAATGTCATGATTTGACCAGTTGACCCCAATGTTGTGATGCATTTAATGCGTCATTGCTGCTTGCCAGATTTCTTGGTTTTTCCAAAAATGATCATGTTAATAGATTGTAAAAAGGTATTTCAAAAACATTGGGGTGGTTCCTTATAAAAATAAGACAAATAGTTCCTATCAATACGGGTCCACAGACGCTTTGTTTCAAAGATACACGGTGTTACAATTTTACAATGAGTACAGTGTCGGATTGGGACGACCGCGACGGTCTACCGATCAAAAGACAGATAGGCCCTCGTTCAAGTAGTGGACCCTCGTTCAGGCAGTGGGTCCTTAACAAGAACAAACTAAGAATGAAATGCAAAAAACCCCGTAATAAGTAAGAGTACTTTTTTTCTCTTCAATGAAAATCGGACCATAAAAAAGGTGGGCCCTTCTCCATCCTCCCTGAAGGTCCGAATCCGACATTGAATGAGTAAAACAAATGAGAGGGAAATTTGGAAAACAATCAGCAGTACACATATCTAAATAACTATTCAATAAATAAAGAAAAAACTAGTTTTTTACGGATTTATTTTGAGATTGATATTTAACGGATTTTGATAAAATAGCATCTCCTATCGAAGCTGAATTCCAAAAAAATATTAATTGTGCTATCAAAAAGTGAAAAGTCAGTGACGTACATATTTTTTGTTAAAAATTATTAAAACATTCGTTAGCCCGCGAGCCGTGGCGCTTCGAGGCGACTTAAAGATGACTTACGGTGAGGAAAACTCCACCCACCATCATCTAAACGGTAATGCATGGCGATTTTTATAATCTGAATGTCATATCAACTGAAATTTTAATTTCTGCTAATACGACATCCATCAAATCCTATAGAGAACAATGCAAATAAATTCACATGGTCTTCTGTAGGATTCCCGCATTAGACACCTACGCCACCGATTTAATAAATAAATAAATAAAAATGGGAAGATACGGGGGGGTTGAAATATTGAAAAAAATCTTAACTTAGAAACAAAAACCGTTATCAAATTCAAATCTTCAGGAAAATCAAGCTTATTGATTCTGAAGAAAAACTGATTGAAAATGAGGGTTGAGGGGGTCTGTTAAACTGTGAAGAGTATAGAATTCCAAGCATTATATATCTTCATTCTAGTTTACTTTCAAATGAATATTAAAAGGAAAAATATTAGTAATCCCATTGAGTGTTTTGGGTTTGGTAGTTTTTTATCACATCTTATTTTTTTACATTAAAAATAGCATTTGCAGCTGATGAATTTACTTTATAGTAGCCCATTCACAAAAAGTTGAATTCGATAAATGTTTGAAAATAAATATTTATCGTGGAATTTTACTATTTTGTATTAAAATATAGATTTTTCGAGCTGTTTACAGAATACTTTTCACTACTCAATAACGAACGCTGACTGCGTGAACGTTATTCGACGTAAAAACAATCAAATACCTATGTGTAATTAGGTACTTACAGAGTGTTTGGTTGGCTCCAATAATAAAACAACTATCGATCAATTACTCAATGACGGCACATAAACATGTTGGTATCTCTGGATAGGTAAATTCATAAAGAATTTAATGATTCTAAAATATTACATTGGATAAAATGAGCCACATTTACGACAGGTTTCAAAATACTCTGTATAAAATGTACCATTTCTAGCATCTACTTTTTTAAACATTGCAGATATCAGTTTATTACTAACTTGTGGAATTTCCATAATTCTTATCATTGTATATATGGAAACATAATTTATTCATACCCATTATTTATTTAGAAGGAAGTGGTTGAAGATTATTTTTTATTTTATTCTTTCTGTAGTGTTTTGATAACTGTTATGTTCCGGCAAACAATAATAAACAGTAATAAAGTTTGCAATGATTAATACATACATGCCCCATAGCGGCAAACTAAGGAAGCAATGGGTTACTGATCTTACAAGAAAGTAGTAGCAGAAATTCTGTTTGTAGGGAAGTCAATGATAATGACTGTACTGATGTGACGACGTGAAGTAAAAAAATAAAATATTAAAGTGGATCATTCATATCGCTCACCAAGAGCAATAGTGGCACAACTAAAAAAATGTCGAAAATCATAGATAAATGAAGCATCAAATCTTTTCTTCGAGCATATATTCCCTGAGATGGCGAATGTGTCGCTAAAGCTTTTTAATAAGTTTTGTATTTAAGCTGCATCGACACTAGCAATAGTGGAACATAATAGGTATGCCTTTTACTATAATAGGGAAGGTTTCGTTATGTTTGGGTAATAGTGGCACTTCTGAGTTGTGCGAATTGATTTTAGTAATTAAGTGCCGAAAAATAGTGACATATTTTTAAATATGCCAGTATAGATTTACATATTAAGTGTTCTTTTAAATGTGCTTATATTAACTATTATATTTATTTTTCGATTAAAGATAAAAATTACGCTCACAGTTCGAAATTCCGTTACAAATACCAAAATTTATTTACCAAATATAAATAATATATATAAATAATTTTGTATTTTTATAAATTCAGTTTATGAATTAATAGAAATGTGTTGTTTTTAATACATCAAATGTCACAATTTTAATTGTAATGATACGAAAAAAACTGTAATGTATGGTCTCATCACTTAGTAGCACTTCTTATCAACTTTAACTTAAAAAAATCACCATTATCTATGAATTTATAATCTAAGAACTAAATCATAATCGACGTCAAACCTCTATGCTCTATCAATTTTGATAAAAGTAAAATCTACAAAATTTTAGATTCAATTTTCGCTTAACATTACTTACTATTTTTAAGATGTGTCATTATTGCCAAGGTGAGACTTATATTAACATTTATGTGAATCTTTAAACTATATATAATGTTATTTGCAATTTTTTTTATTTATTATAGTACTATAAGGGAATCCTAAAGTTGATACTTTGTTTTTACTTAAAACCTCCATTAATTTACTCCATTATTAGTACTCAACCATTTTTGTTTATTTAAATATCAAAACTTACAATTTTCCATTGAAACTCCGCCATTCGAAACATTTTTATCTTCAGAAACTTCCATTTCCTCTGGATCTTCGTATTTGCCAATGAACAAAATAGTACCATTGGGACCCTCAACGAAGAACATAAATGGATGTGATGCATTAAAAATAAGTTTGTTCTCGCCAAATTTATTGCCAATATTAACATCTGCAATAATAATAAAAAAACTATTTTACAAATTTATTGTCCATACTATAACGTATTACATATAAACATTTATACAATTTATTAATAATTAATTTTATAGTCCTTTATTCTGTAGTCGACATAAAATACCAATTTATTAGAGCTACTAATATACAAATGAATTATCATCTTCCTATATAACAATAAATCTCATTCCTCTGTGACATCCAGAAGAATAGTTTGGTCTTGCTGATAGTGTTTTCTAGTCGTTAGTTATTTAATAAGAATAAGTCCCAAATATTTTTAAGGAATAGTTTTTCCAGCCAGAGTGAATAGTCGGAACTTTTCCAGTTTCTTCTTTGTAAAGAAGACGAAAACAGTTTTTAGGGGGTTTACAGACATTTGCTTCCTCTCTCTCCAATTGTAAACACTGTTTAGGACTCGCTAAAGGATAAGGACATCATATATTATATCTGGAAATTTACCCACTGCTCACAAAGATACTTTAACACGTTGTCAACTAGAATAATCGATAGTATGGTGGAAAACAATCCACCTTCTGGCAAGCCTAAATCGCACCCTTTCTCATTGTAGTGATAAAATGATATTCCGATTTCCAAGCATAATTACTGTAACGTTTATTTATTTATTTTAATTTATGTTCACCAATTTATTAACTAAAATATATTTGTACTCAAAAAATCAACTATTTATATCTTAAACACTTTATTTTATATTAACAATATTTATCTTTATATACTAAACCCATATCGACAAAGTTGCCCTGTTTATATGAAAATGTGGCGACCCACTCCTAGTTCCGGTCGTTCTAACCTGTATCAACTACATTTCTGACAGTTTCTATTGTTTCGTAGTAGAAAACTTAGACCAGACGCGCTGGCGACAACAGAACATAGAGAACAGGACTATACTGGTCGAAAACGGCTCGCACGACAATACTTTTGAATTAATTAATGTATTAATAATTGGATGTATTGCATTGTAATCCCTCTTATTTGCAACACACCATAAATCTACTTAAAAAATCTTACCAGTCGCTGAAAACACTACGCTTCCTTCTTCATCTACTTCTATGCCAGTCTTTTGAACAATATCTGAAACGACAAGTTGTCGTCTTAAACTATTGTTTGTTTGCACAATACCATTAAAACTATTTGTATTTTGAAAGATTTGATGCAGCCCAAACTGAAAAAAAAAATATAATAATATTATAAGAAGTGGATTGATATGGGATTATAGTATGAGCTGGATAAAGGACGGCATGGAGAGAAAGAATAATATGCAGAAGTGCAGGTATTGTGTAGTGGCAAAAACATGTCACATACGAATTCCAAATAAGATGAAGGTGTAGGCTAAAATTCACGATGAACCAAATGTTGAGAAGAAAATGGGAAATAATAATGAGATTCTGGAAGATTATTAAGTATATCATTATGTTGAAGAGGGGTAAACCAAAGGCTTCTCCTATTTCCAAAAAAACTTACCTTTTGTAAAATCGGTGCTAATTTTGCATGAAAATTAAATTTAAATTTGGGAATAATAAGCTGTACTAATTGCGCCGTTAGATAATACCTCATCTCCGATATTTTGGTTAAACTAATCTTCTTTATCAAATTTTCTAAACCTCCAAGAGAATTTGGCAGGACAATGAACATGGAATATGAACTTCCCTGAAGCAAAAAATAAATTATAAAATATCGGTTAATTTTTGTTCGATATATTTAAACCTACTTTGTATTCTAGTCTAACAATTTTAGCATCCAAAGAAGGGTCTTCGTAATAGTAAAATTCGTCAATTGTTGTCATATATTGTACGTATTTTGGTGGCTTATTAGCTTGTGTATAGTCGGCTGTTGTTAGAAATTTTCCTACATATGTTTGATTTCTGGGAAATGGGTGTTCCCAAGTTCCTTTAAAGTAAATTGCATTTGTAATCAGCATCAATGTCTGAACCAAATCATCTAAAAATAAATATCCAATTTCAATAATACATTTTACTAAAATCTATACAATAAATAAAATTAGTCATCAAAAGATATACCTAGATATTTCTAATTTATTTACTTACCCGCTGCGACCATTTTTTTCACTTTTCCATGGGTTAATTGATCTATCCAACTATTAATGATCTGACTGGCCTCTTCTGGTTTACCGAAATCAACTAGTTTAATACCTGTTCGAAAATATTTGACCGCAATTTGTTCGAAAGTAGGAAGTACATGTAAATCTTTATCTAAAAACATTGATGTTCCTATGTTCAACAAATATTCACTTCTCTCAGAATGCTGAAAAAATACTAAATATTTATATTCTAAATATACCTAGTATAGTAATAAAATATGTTTTACCTGTAAAGCAGCTAATATATTGCTATAATTATTTTTAACGGCATCCTTATTTTCAAAATTTAATAAGGACTGAAATTCTTTTTCTGTAACAGATGTAGATCCTTGATACAATAGGCCAAATATGAGTTTTAGACTGATAGGAGAAATAAGTACATTTTTATGATGCGGTGACAACTCCTTAAAAATGATGAATTAGCATAAAGATCTAATATTTTTCTCTATTTTCACTTACTTGTAGCAATTGCCAATCAAATTTGTTCGTTAGGATATCATTATAGAAGGACAAACCAGACTCATAAAAGCCTTTGGAAGCGAAGCTAACTTGTTGCGTTAATCCTATGGCCAAAACTAAAAGAATATAAAAAATTTTAAATGTAAAAAGTGATTTATTTTGGATCTTACATGGTATAAATAGAAAAAACAGGATTAATACTTTTATTGATTTTATTTTCATAATTTTAACATTGTCCCCTTCAATATTTCTTCCACGGCCCCACACCGCTCCATACGGATTTACCATTGGTCAAAATACTGATGTCAATCAGTTTTGAAAGCATGTTCATATATCTTCTAGTATCTCAAATATGGTTTCGGTGAATAGCATGGATGTTCTAATACAATTCTTGGCCAAAAACCTCTTGATAAGCAGTGCAGTGTGGGCTAGAGCGTTGTCCTGGTGAAGAAACCATAAATTGGTTTTGGTAAAATCTAACACTTTTGGTTACTTTCCGGTTACTACGAATATAGTAACAGCTCGATTATTTAACTTCTAAACCCTCTGGACAATTAAATTTCTTTTTTTAAAGTTTCTATTCAAAATGCCGTTGGTATATCTAATTTTTTAATTGTCCAATAATTTGTACTACTTGCGAAATTATCAATGTAACTGTTGACATTTCTTTCTACTGGAGCATACACATTTCCGAAAGTTTCTTCCTGAAAACTAGCAGTCTAACCTTTCTTAACCTGTTCTATTTTGTTCTAAATATCCATTTTGTATCCATTACGTTTTTTTCTATGTTCAATTTCAACTATTTTTGTATATTCACTTTCGTTAAGAAGACAGTATGATGTGTACCTATAGCCGTAGTCTTTTAGTTTAGTAGCTACAGTTCTTGTTCTTACAAAGTATGAGTCAGCATTTTCAAATTCTGCAAAAATGCTATATGCAAAATTGTATATGCAAAATTATATATCCAAAATTCTATATGCAAAATGCTATATGCAAAATGCTATGTGCAAAATACTATATGAAAAATTATATATGCAATTTGCTGTATGCAAAATGATGTAAGTATGCAAAATGCTATATGCAAACGGCTATATGCAAAATTCTACTATTATCGGGCAAAAGTAATAAGTAGGACTTGGGGAACTAGACAAAAAGGCCTTCTAGTAGTTTGTACATGCGCCTTATGTTTATCTTCGCGGTTGAAGAGCAAAAAATAGTCGTCGTTGGTTGAGGATCTGGTTAAAAAAAAATTCGTGTACAGCTTTAAAAAAAAATTGATTAGCGTGGCCTCCCACCGAAGTCGCCCTTGGTTTAATCGGCTATATCTTAGCTGAAACTTTTGTATTTATAGCTGCTGTAAGACATCGATTTATTTGATATGTGGTACTTATTACTGCTTTACCCTATAGATATTTTGAAAGTTCTGCATCAAGCATAATAGTTTTGTATTTTTCTAATAAGAAATGGCCGTACCATTCTTATTGTGGGTATATGGGATCGTATATTTTAATTTTATTACTTTATTTCTAGAGAAATTTTTAAAATCGTTTGATGAGAATTCTCCGCCAGTATTACAATCTATTTTACTTTTTTTTATTCCAAATTTAGCGTTCATTTCTTTTATGTAGTTTATAAGGATTTCTTTTTGCTTAAAATTTCAAATTATAATTAAAATTAATAAATTTTTTTGGACTAAAATCCTCCACTAGTACTAAAGGCACCCGATCTGCGCATCAGCTTATAAAAGTACAGTTCACTCTAGCAAGGTTCAGTCCCCTCCCAAGAAAAGTTATTCCGCCGCCAATGTATATGTATATTTTATCTTAGAGGTTATCAGAAACTGGACGGTATTGATACTATCTGCAAAAATAACTAAATTTTAATATGACGAAATTAAAACACACTTGGAATTTCAAGATTTTAGTAATTCTAGGTATTATTATAATATAATAATTTGTTTTCGATTAATATCTTATTTAGGAATTTCTTGATAGTAATTTTAACAAATTACTATTATTATTATTAGCTAGATCATTTGTATATTTTAAAATAAATACGTTACTCAATTATTTTTATTTCGTGATTTTATAACAAAGAATAATGATAAATGTTTAAATCAGTTTTTATCTGCAGATCGCAATATGTTTCATTTTACTATGTTGCAAAAAAATCAGCAAACTATACAGAGATCGGATGAATAATTTCCACTCTGCCTATGATTTTGATCATTTGTTTATTGTTTTATTATGTCATATGTTATTAGTTTTTTTGTAAAATATTGTTTGTGTCTACTCGTTTGTGGTTTGTATTTGACAGCTCGGTATACTAATTAATAATTCAATTCTAAGTTTTCGTCACTGAATCGAAAATATTTTACGTAGTTTTTTGTGTTCTTCCCAATAAGAATTTTTTAGGACTATTTATTGAAAAATACATCCCTCTTGTATACGCCTATGGATTTCATATAAAGTTATTTTAGGTTTCAGTGCACTGTATATTTTAGATTTAATTTCTTTCATAGTAAATACAAAAATGTCCCAACAAATAAAACAAATCCTATATCCATAGTAAAACTTCTCTCTTCATAATTCTTTCCGCATGTTATAATCAATGGTGGCTCGTGACAAAAATATTGGGGGTTCACATATTTATGTACCTTTTTATACTTATACCTTTCTAAAACACTAAAAGTTTTTTACCTACATCTGTGTACGTACTGAGATCTACATTTTGATCACAAGCCGCCACTGGTTATAATGTCCTTCTTATCACTTAACTACTGTGGTTAGAAGAAGTTACATGCTTTGGTAACATATTATGTCGTCATGAAAGTAACCAAACTGAATAAAGAAATGATTTGGTAACATAAAGTAGGTTCTAATGAGTTACGGTAAGATTAAGGGTTTAAGTCCAACAACAATTTGAATTTGGCAGGTAAAAATACAGACATTTTCCTTATTTATTTTCATCTTGTATAGGTACTATAAAAACGATCTAAAATAGAAATTTCTCACTTTGTTCTTATAAAATATACACACACCTAACAAACAATTAACACTTAACAGTTCTGCTATAATTTTACTTTCCCGTAAAGAGTATTAACACTTTTTACTCCCTTTTCCACAAAAAAAATATTGTTTTCGCTCTCCCTGTTCGCCTTTTTATATTCAAAGATTCTGAAGAAAATAGGCTTATGTAGCAGATATCAGTATCCAGAGGGGTACGCATCACTGCACACATCGTTAGGTGCCCTCTATTTTTCGAATAAAATATGATTAATAATTAATAAGATTATTAACCTTTTCAAATTAGGTCGTTCCATAGACCACACGTTACAGGAATACCACCTGGTGATTATTAAAATGTTACCCCTACTGGGAAATATTGGATAATGATTACTGAAGTATTAGATAACTATTAAATCTTTTTTTGACACTATAATAATAGATATTTTATTCACACGGCACCTAATTCAATCATAAAATTTTCTAAAAATGGATAATAGGCTATGTATTGTGTTAGAAATAGTTAATTTTGAAAATTAAAATACCTAGGTAAATACCAATAAATAACTAAATAGGTAAGCACATAAACTTTAATCCATTACCTACCTAAAAAATATTTTTTAAAGTTTACAATAATAAAAAATTCACAACGAAATTAAATACCTAAAAAATTTTTTGGACTGAATATTCCTTTTGTTTAAGTTAGCCCCTAAAGACTTCAAGATTTATGTATAATTGTAATTTGAAAATTTTTGAAATTACAAGTTAGCTACTACTAATTTGAATTTGAAATAAAATATTTTAAACGGTGCCCATAAAAATAATGTTTAATGTACCTAAGACACTGACAATAACTTCGAAGCCGGCAGCTTTTCAAAACCAGTCTTTTCGGTATTTATTTCCAATTCATATAAATAACAAATTAACAAATTAAACGAGTTTTACATAAGTAAGAATCGGTTTGTTGAACAAAATTAACTAATGCGTTAAAAATATGCTGCGTAAACAACATTTTACATACCTAGAGTAAAGAATAACATTATCGTAGTAACAAAACAACTGAATCACTGTATGGGTTTGCTTGGATGATAATTTCTTGACCCCCCTTTTGCCAGAAGAGATGGGATTTCGGTCAGTAGCCACACGCTGTAATTTAATCACTAAAATAAATTTTAATTCTGTTTTAATTTTAAGATAAACACGAACATATTATTCTTTAGCAGTTTTTATATTCTACTTTTCATCAAACCGTGAAGTCTGTGTTGCATGTCTATACCGCTAATTTTAAATACACTAACGATTTATAAATTGAACGTTGTCAAGTAGGTACTTTTATAAGGTCGTGGGAAATTTTGATAATCACAAAAATTTGTTTTTTCCTAAATACAATATATCTAAAATAAGTAGGAACGGGATTTTTTCCCATAACGATCTTTTTATCAGTTTCTTATATATGAAATGGTTTTTGTTATCAAATATATTAAGAGTAGGTATGTTTATAGTGTCAAATTACAACAAAAACGGAAAAGAAACTTTAATTGGTTATTGACTATTCAGAATTTTTAGAATGCTTAGGGAGTATCTACAATAAGAGAGTGTTATGACGGTTTGCGGTCTTTACTTTAGAAACGATATTAAAGAAGTCATTATAACAACTCTGCAGCATAATATATTGAATATCAAAATATTTTCATCTATTTTTGGTAAAGGGCTTATATATAGTATATCAAATGATGAAAGTTTCTACTCTTTGTCTAGAAATTTTAATATTAAATTGGAGCCCCTCTTTAGTTAATACATTCCTCAACTCTCCGAGGCATACTTCGAATAAGTTGATCAATGTCTTCTTGAGAAATCGAGTCCTAAGCAACTTGAACTTCAAATATCTTAGGCGACGCAAATCCATTATTAAGCAAGGAAGTTGACCCCATCATCTTTTAGCTATCATGTCTCATACATGTTCAATTGGTGAAAGATCAGGAGACCTAGCTGGCCAAGGAAGAACAGTAACTTGAGAGTCACAACAAATCCTGGCAGTAACTACTGCTGTATTTGGTGTGGCATTAGTGGCATTATCCATTTGGAAAATTGGGTTTTCCAGTTGCTGAAGATATGGTATAGCAACTGGTTCTAAAACATTGAGGAAGTAGTCCTAAGCATTCCTGTTTCTTTCAAGGAATACTAATAGAGACCTGCTTCCATATGAAATTGCACCGCATACCATAACTCCTCCACGTTCCAGTCAAAATTGAATTTCCCACCTTTCACCACGTTTTCGGTGAACTCTTCTTCGTCCATCATGGGACTATAAACAAAATCGAGGCTCGTCACTGAACACAGTTCCATTCCATTCCTGACACTGGACACGTTTTTGACACCACTGCAATCTCACCCCCCTATTTCTTTGGGTCAATGGCAAGATGAGACGCGGTCGATAAGACTGCAAGCCAAAAGACCTGGTCCTAAGATAAACTGACCGTAAAGAGAGTCGTTGTCCTGTAGTAGCCAACCATTCCTGCGCCACTGACCTAGACGTAGAGTGAGGTTTAAGATTGCCTCTATTGCAGCCGTAAGACAGATTCTCATTGCACCCCCAGACAACACACCAAAACCCAGAGATGTCCACAGAATATCTTTTGTGGATATCCAATATATCCACAGGATATCAGAAATATTCCGTGGATCTAATATGGATATCCAAATGTCCGTCTATATCCAGAATATAGAAGATATCTTATGGATTATCCAGCAAAATATCTAATTGGTATCTTCCAGACAATACGAGAAATCCCAGAGATATCCACAAAATATATTTTGTCGATATCCAATATGGATATCCAAGGATATAGAAGAATTCGGATATTCAGCAAAATATTTTATTTATGGTGTGCTGTCTGGGCCGGTGATGCAAACACAGGCTAGTCTTTGTACTTTTGAGATATTAGCTCTGGTAGTAGCTAAACTAGTTTTGTTACTCCAGGCTACAGCCCCGTATGAATGATTGATATCACTATTGCTGTGTACGTCCCTCACAGAATGTTCGGGTCACATCTCAATTTGTTTTCCGCAATGATCATGCATACCATTAGAGCTTTTGTAGCCTTATTTACTATTTACTTCTAATGTATGTTCCAGAGAAGTTTCTTGTCCAGGACTGGGCCTAGATATTTTACTTCTTTTTTCAATTCTATATCTATCCCGTTTAATTTGAGAGTTCTGAGATTGAGTTTTCTTTTCCTTGAAAAGGCTGCTAGTGTTGTTTTGATTTATATTAAGAGACCTGGACTTACTCCTATCTGAAGACTGTCACAACTCTAGATTTGTGTTTCAACTAAATCGGAGATTGATAAATTGTTATGGATCTGTTAAAATGATGTATTCATTACTACTAACCGTCTAAAAAATGAGCTGTATCCTTTGGTTGTCTCAAGGTCTTAAATCCAAAAAATCTAAAATAAACAAAACTCTAAATGGTTATGTTATATTAGTTTGAAGCTCAATAGTCTTTTATCATTGCTCTTCAGACGAGCGAAAAAGGGACCAATTTAAGGTTTTAAAAGCTCAGTGAGTAGTAAAATTGCTAATTCTAAGTATCATGGGTTAGATCCGTTGCTGTTTTCTTCAGCACTAGTCCCTTTCATTTGCGAGCTTTCAGAATATTTTTCTTCCAGGTGGCTTTCGGCTACCTACTTTGCAATTGCTTTGTGACAAATGCTTGTCTTGCTATGCTACCGTGTTGTTTTCTAAGAGTATGTCCAATCCAGTCCCAGTTCCATTTTTTTTTTTTTTTTGATCATGCGTATTTATTATAAATTATTGTTTTGTTTATTTACTGACCAAGTTTGTACCTAATAAAGTCGTACTTAGCTAAAGTAAATAAATTGGACCTAATAAATATCTCGTCGAATTTGTTTAATAGCCCTGTAATGAACTCTTTGACCTGCATCAGCTCTGAACAGCTATTCTATAATTCCTGAGGTTCTTGTTGCAAATATAAAAATGCCAGTTATTACAATTTTTGATAGTTTCGCCCGTTCTACTTGTCCTAAAGTATATACTGATATTTTTCTATGGGTGCGAATGTTTGACACATTAAAAAGAACTTTTCAAATCACTTATTTTAGATATAAAAATTATTTAAGCAACAAACGTATAATTGTATAAGTTTTGTAGGTAAAAACAAATACTAATATCTCAGTTTGGCAACCTTGAAAACGTTAAGGTGTTAAAGGTCGACGTCACTGGGAAATCCATATTAATGAATCTATTACTATTAGCGCCTACGCCTACTTGCAGAAGTAATAAAACATGGTTTTTGAAGAATTTTTATTTGTTTTAACAAAAAAAACTGGTTTTTTAATGCGTGATAGTTAAGTAATAACTATTTTATTATTTATCGGTGATGCAATACCTACTTAATAAGTATACTGTTGTTTGATTAAAAAAGAGGATCATACCTATAGGTGCGCTATGAGCCCAATTCGAAATCAACAATTTCAATGAGTCTAGTGTAAACTATGTTAATTAATTTTAAATGAAATAAAATGAAACGTATCGAATGAATGTCTATGCAAGAAATAATCCTTCCTACATGTGCAAGAATGCCGTGCTAATCACAGAATGTGCTAATCACCAAATATTCTTATGTGTCCCAGTTCGACGTATCGTTCTACGAAATATGAGTAGCACTCGTGAGTCATGACAGGGTGGTCCTATCCTAGCGATAAACGAAACATCCGAGTGGTTACACTAGGAAACTATAAAACAGTATTCCAGGCTGAAATAATTGGCTTAGACTATACAAAAAAAATAATAAATTGACAGAGTTAAATAGTTAAAATGAACATACTTTTAGCTTAGGTACCATATCATGAAGACAAAGGGCACCGGAGCAACAATAATGTCGATATGTTAGCCATAGAATGCTCAAATAAGGTCATGACTAGTCACAAACCAATAAACGAAAATTGAGTAGCAGAAATGGTGGAACAACGAATCAAAACTGGGACAGGATTTAAATCTGCGTGGTAAGGAGGCAATCTGAGAATTTCAATGTGATTTCAATTCATTTTTCTCGAGCCCTCTCGTCGATATATTTTTTGAATTAGTTTTTATGTTGCCTTGCTATTACGAGTAATTTATACAAATTGTATGGATGGAACGATATTTTCAGAAGTGACGTAGCTCAGTGCTACACTTTCGATGAAAAGGAAAAGATCTAGGATCTAGGTCCGTATTTATAAACAGAAATTAACTGAGTCGTCCTTGAACGAAAATCGAAGTTCGGTTATATCGCGTGAATTTAGAGATGGATAGTAACAAATCCGTAAATGTACTTAACAGTTACATATTCCTTAATATCTATCTCTAAATTGAAATGTAACACCTGAACCACCTGGAACTTTAGAGAAGTTGTAACCGAACTTCGATTTTAGTTTAAGGACGACTTACCCAAGTCCGACTCAGCTGAGTTTTGTTTATAAATACGGACCTTAGCCAGCGGTAATTTAACTTATATTTCGGGAATATTCATTGAAGAACTTCTGAAATGTTTCATCTTCCCATTAAAAAAATCACGATGAATAAAATGTCATTCATCGTAGAAAAAAATCCATATTCATTCTTTTCCATTGATCATATGTCAATTGCTGCTTTTGAATATCCACATCTGATGCAACTAATATGTTGTGAATTGTTTATCACATGATAGAGGTTTAGATTTGAATGTAGATGTAATAAACAAACGCTCTAGACTTTATTGGTCACGTGATAAAATAACAAGTTATAAGTTTATACTTTATAAATTTGACTTTTGAGATTAGAAATCAACCTAAATTTGAAATCTAATCAAAAATTAAACAAACTAATCACTTTAATATTCACGCTAGCGTATGCCGCGTTTGAATATCCACATCCGATGCATTTTTTACATCTAGAGCGTTTGTTTATCCACATCGGACACATCTACTACATCTGCGTTTGTTTATCCTAGATGTAGCCATTGTATACAATGATGTAGCTGTACATATTACATTTTTTTATATCTCGATTTGAAATGAGATGTGAATGAGATGTGAATGAGATGTGAATGAGATGTGAATGAGATGTAAATGAGATGTGAATGAAGATGTGAATGATATGTGAATGAGATGTTCGTTCCGTGCCAAAGTTTATCGATTTATCCTTTGTTTATGCTAGCGTGAATATAAAAGTGATTAATTTATGTTTAAATTTCAAATTTAGGTTGATTTCTAGTCTCAAAAGTCAAATTTAAAAAAATATTAACTTCTAACTTGTCATTTTATCACGTGGCCAATAAAGTCTAGAGTGTTTGTTTATTACATCTACATTTAAATATAATCGTCGATCACGTGATAAAAAATTCACATCTCGGATGCATCCGATGTAGATATTCAAATGCAACACCAAACAAAGAAATTAAATTTCTGCTAATACGGCATCCATCAAATCTTACAGAGAACCATGCAAATAAATTCAAATGGTCTTCAGTAGGATTCGAAACTCGTGTTTGTTGTACCAGAAAATTGGCTTGCAAATGAATGCCGCGGCGTAGACACCTACGCTACCGTAGTCGATAGGTTATATAAGCAAATGGGCAACACTATGCTTAACGGGTGACTTACAACAGGATTTTGCTAAAACTCATCTGAAGTCAATAATTAGTGTATATAGAGGAACAAAAATTAAAAATCTGATTGAAATAAAATAATTATTGTATTGTAAAATCGTTAAAAACTACTAATTTATAATTTTGTGTTTAAATAAATATTATTGTTATTATGTTGTTTCACTTCTAAAAAGATACCTACATAACTTCATTTTAAATAAAAAATGGGCTTGTGAGTTAATTTATTAGTTTCGGAGAAGAAACCAAAAAATGTTTGAACACATTTCATACAGTGAATGGCATAAAATGCGACAAACTGACTACTATAAAAATTAAGTTATTTTAATCTAAAATTTTGAAATTGGCACATCTTCATTTTTTACCGGAATTCATTTATTTAAGTTACACAACATTTTGATTAATTTATTTGCGTAGAATATATTAAAATTTTATATGTAGGTACATATTTTAATTGTTTTCTAAGTGTGCATCGCTAATTTGCAATTTTAGAGTTTACTTTTCTCCGTGTAGAAATAAGCGACAAAATAACGTCAACTGTCATTAAAAATCTGACCACTCCGACATCAAGGCCGACCCAATCTGTCGCTACTGTATTGATATTTATACTGGGCTTTAGGATGGCTTTAGGTCATAAACATGTCATAAAGATAAAGACAAAAAGAAGTTTAATAAAGTTTTTCCCGCGCGAAATTAATGGATTTATGTTATGATTTTCAGCATTTCAGAAGGAAATAATAAATACAGTAAAATAAACTTTTTAAAAGGAAACAACCAAAATGAATAAGGTTGAATATAACGCCGAAACTTTAAGTGATTTACTGCCCGTTTATTACAGAAGATTGTTTCCACATTCTCAATTTTACCGCTGGTTAAGTTATGGTAATTATAAATGTTTATGATATTAATTCTGTTCGTTATCATTGTTAACAATGCATTGTAGGGGATCAACTTACTTTTGCAAAAAGAGAAATATCTTTTACACTTCTCGGTGAAGTTTACATTCGTTATCAATCCTTTGACTCTCAAAATGATTTCACAAAACAGTTGTACAAAAAGTATCCCATAAAAATAGATTTAGGCGCCATATATCAGACAAAACCAAAAGATAAAGGCCCTGATTCTAAAATTATACCCGCCGAAAAAGAAATAATATTTGATATTGATATGACGGATTATGATGAGGTGAGAACTTGCTGTTCAGGTGCTGATGTATGTACTAAATGTTGGAAGTTTATGGTGATAGCTTGCGAAATATTAGATGATGCTCTGAGGATTGATTTTGGTTACAAGCACAGGTTGTGGGTATTTTCTGGAAGAAGAGGTACATTTACATTATTTAAAAACATATTATAATTCAACTTTTAAACTTAAATACTAATTAAAGGATCCAAAATTTAACAGACTTATTTTAATGCATTTGACCATATGTCATTATTTTAAGGTATTCATTGCTGGGTATGTGATCAGGATGCAAGAAAAGTAAACGAGGAAGCTCGTTCAGCTTTGGCAGATTACTTGCATGTTGTAAAAGGTGGAGCAAATGTAACAAAAAAAGTTGATTTGTCAGAAGATATAATACACCACTCTATTAGGTAAGATGATGTAGAAATAAGGAAATAACACCAATAAATAAATAAAAACAAAAAGTAATCTTTAATAATGAACTTCATTTCTGAATGACTAAAAATCTATTATATTTTTAATTAAACATAGAGAAGAGATGGTAAAAATAAGGGACGTAAATAATAATACAGAAAATTGCACTTTAAAAAATAGAGTTTTTTAATTGTATGGTATCTCTTGAAACAAGGTACATTAATACATAAACCTACATTACAGTCTTTGCATGACATGTATCGAGATTCCTTTCTTTTTGTGAGCCCAGTAATAGTGTTGGCACAGATAAATGACAATATTTAAAGATAGGATAGTACTGAAAAAGTGTGTATCTTGGATTCCTCGCTCCACTACTGTTGAATATCTCTTCAGATAAACAATTCATTTCTCATTAAATAACTCTTATTTTTACAGAAAATGAAATATTCCTCTACATCAATCCATTAAAAAATGCTAGTGCACCTGGGTATGATGGAATTGCCCCATTTTTGTTAAAACTAACTGTGAGATACATTGTGTACCCTCTTAGCCATATCATTAACTTAATATTTATTAATGGAAAATTTTCCAAGCAATTTAAAAACTCTGATAACCCCTATTTAAAAGTGAGTGACAAAAATAAAATTACTGAAAAATGTCTAAAAACATGTTTAATAATTTTTTTAAATAGTGGTGAAATATTTAACATTGACTGAAAATAAGCACTGAAGATGGAGTAATGCCAAACGGGCTTTGCAATTTTTAAAATTAAGAGTTTTTTTACATGAAATACAAGTTTTCTTAGCTGATTCTCTAAAAGTTTTATTTTCTTTAGAATACCAATAGTTCCCCATTTTCTGTTTTAGGAGAGCTTTAAAAATAATTAACAGATATCTCCCAACTATTGTTGAAGAACAAGATATTTTAGGCACTGAAGAGAGGTTTAATAATTTTTTAAAACTTATTGATCAAGATATAAGGCCATCATTTGAAACTCCAATGAAACGAGCAGAAACTTCCTCAGAAAAATGGAATATATTTGAAGAAACTTTTAATGAAATGCTAAGAAATGTATTTATTTTATTTTTTTGTTAATAATTATTGTTAAACTTGCTGTATGTTGGTGCTTATGTATTTTATTATCAATTTATTAAGTATCTTTCCATTAATTTAAAATATGTATCTATAATTTCATACATATTTATTCATTTAAGTTAAATTACCTTAAATATTTTGAAAAGCCTGTTACATTATTTTTCTTATCTATCTTTTAGAATAAAATTCCAAAACATTTGCGGAACCTTAAAGAAGAAATAAAACTATACTATGCTTATCTTAGATTGGATATAAATGTGACAAAAGGATTGATTCATTTATTAAAAGCTCCATTCTGTGTCCACCCAAAAACTGGGAAAGTTTGTGTACCCTTTGATGCAAATAAGGTGGACTGTTTTAATCCAAACACAGTACCTACTATTCAGTAAGTAAAAATGTATTACCTATACTATTTTTCAGGAACGTTTGTATGGGAGTATATATATTTTTTTAAAAGTAGGAACTTGAAAATTGGAAGTGTAGCTACTCATTATAAATAAATAATTATGCATTTCAGGGTTTTTGGATACATTTTAAAGGAGGGAAATTGGGGGGTGAAAGTTTGTATGGAGTATAGATTTTTTTAAAGATAGTAATTTGAAAATTGGAATTGAAGCTACTCATCATAAATAAATAATGATGTGTTTCAGGGTTTTAGATTTCACATTTTAAGGGGGGAGAAAAGTGGTGAAATAAAAATAAATAATAATAAAAATAAATAAATAAAAAAAAATAAAATAAATACAAATGAATAATAATTAAAAACAAATAAGAGAAAACTTCTTCTGTCCTGATATGAAAAATATGAAGAGTCAATTGATAAAAACCATATTTCATCCTAAGAGAGGACCACTTTTCTCAAGGACAGTTTTATGTTACCTGTTAGAGAGTCAGTTCCTTATGCAATCTGGTAACACCAGATGAGAGCCATGCCAGAAACGTGGTATAAAATGAGATTCTCAATTAGATTACTATACTTAAATATTAGATTACTCTACTTATCTCTAATCTTTAATTATCACACACATATCATGAACCCTAAAAAACATCCCTCTTTTTTTTAGGAAGTCATGCATTTTTTTATTAAAAACACGACTCCATGCGTGCGAAGCCGCGGGCAACAGCTAGTATTCATATATGATAAACATTTTTCATAAAATTTAATTTGTAGTGGATTAATCGAAGAAATTGAAAATTATGGACAAAAAATAAAAGACAGCAGCTCAACAGAAATTGATGCTAAATCAAAAATTGAAGACTACAAAAAAACCAGTCTTGTGGAAGGAATGACTGTTTTTGAGAATTTTTTAAAAGGATTTGAAAAAAATGCCAATAAAGAACAAGGTAAATTATATTTAATTAAATTATTTAACTTTCTATTACGTTTCGGTAGGTCCTTGATATTTGTATCTGCTTACAGAAACTGAAGACTCCAAAAAAAACATTCATGCACAATCAATGAGGTTTATTGAGAATTTTTTAAAATTAATGGAAAACCCAAATGATCCAGGTAAATTATATTTAATTAAATAATTTAACTTTCAACAAATTAAAAAATGGCATAATGTTCTTAATATTTGTATCTGCTGACACCACATTATTACACCCCCTTAATAACCAACTTTCATCCTATTAAACCTAATTATTACTACTAGGAGATCCCATAGCTCTGCATTCTTATAATAATTAATACCAAGTGCACATGCCATATTATTTATAAAAGTCTTTAAACTTATAAAGGGTGTCCCACAAATAAAATATTTTTAAAGTAGGCTATGACTTCCAAAGACTGATAACAATGCATGGCTCTGAATTAAATACAAACCAAGGACTCAGACCAAAATGAAATAAATAGTTCTGGTTCGGTTTGGGTTCCATTAAAACAAAGTTTTGTAACACGACAACGATAATATGCATCTGAATGATGCACAATGGGTCTTATAAGGCCTAAGTACTGTAGAGCAACCCACCCTAGCCCACCTTACAGATACAGAACTTTGCCCACAATTGCTTGCGTAGTGGTGTTGTAGACAAAGTGGGATGACTGCCCTGGAATATAATATTTCTTGAAACATTTCTACATCTTGCTTACAACTCTTTATTTTTTCAGATATCAACTTGTTTGATTAATACTTTGAATAGTACTGATTTCTAGAATGCTTTTGTTTTTTACTATAATGTTGATTACTTATAATGTGTTGATTACTATGTTTTTTTTTTACCATAATGCGTTTATTTCTGTGTTAACTTTCATTTTTAATTTAAATAAAATAAAACAAAACTACGTTGTGATTTTTTTTTTTTTTAATTAGTTGTAATGTGGAATGTAGTAGCACCCATAAATGGGTCCTATGATTGAACGTTTACGTTATCCGTAACGTACATGTTAGGCCGAGTTTTAACAGCAAGGAGACAAATTCGTATGATGTAAAGTTTTTCATAACACGTTACTGTTATTTTCCACCTGTTATGTTCTAATTTAACGTATCGCCTCAACAGCCTCGAATAACATGCCGTTAAGTGCCCAACGTCTATGTTACCACTTTATTTGTTTATTATTTAATTATCTAATACCTATATTGCTAATTGTCTGAATTCTTAGTATATTTGAATTTGTTTTTAATTTATATGATTTGTAAATACTAGCCAAAGGTTTGATTTTTTTTATCTAATATATTTGTTTTCCCCGTGAGAATAATTTTGTTTTTTTCTAACAAAATTAAGTAGTTCCTCATACTATTACACAGTTGTTTTAGCCAATCTTTTCGCCATAATAAATTAAATAAAACTGAAAACTCTCCCCTCATCATAGGATAGGACTCCATTAGGCGAGTTCGGATAGTCAGGGCAAAGAATACCTACCCAAGAAGCGAAACTGAATGAGTATTCGTATGTACTAAAACATGGGAACTTAATACACTGGGAAACGTATGAAAATTAATCAATTTTTGTCGTTTGGTTCATAAGAATTTAAACACATACTAAAGTAACAATGACATACAGAAAATTGTTGCAATGTTCTTTATGTAAAATAGATTATTTTAATAACAAAATATGTATCATTGTATCTACAAATAATGATTACACAATAGCGTAAGCAAATAACCTGGTCATTCTGCAAATAAGGAATTTTGAGAACAATTGAAGACATAAGTGGATAAATGTATCATGTCACATTTTTAAAAAAAAAATGACTTGTATGGCCTATTATACTTAAAATATAGTATATTTTTTGTTTGTCATGCTCACAGCTTATTTTATGTTGAGGTTCAAGGAATTGGAGTATATTCTACATCCTGAGCCTTGTTTTGTTTTAGAACTGTGGGTGTAGATATGAATCGTAGCTGCCACTTCTGGATCTTCTATTCTAAACATCAGTTTCTATTCCACCTGTGCAGAGGAGTTATCATCAGAGCAACCGCCTTGATGTAAATATCAAGGGGAGTGAGACTAAGAATGACTTGCATGGCTCTGGTTGGTGTGGTTTTCATGGCTCCTGTTATGTTGAGACATGGTGTCATTTGAATTTGTTCTAGTTTGCGAATAGCTGTCAATTTTTGGATTTTCGGTACCCAGACAACTGCACCGTATGTTAGCATAGGTGTTATGATGGCCATGTAAGTCCATGTGACGACTCTGGGGGAGAAACCTCAGGTGCCCCCCACGGTTCGGCGGCATTGTTCATAAGCAATGTATGCTCTTTTGACTCTATTTTCCAAGTGTGAGTTCCATGTTAACTTGTTGTCAAAGGAGCTACCTAGGTACTTCACCTCTGTTGCAAAGTTTTGTTTTATGTTTAGGAGCTTTAGAGGTTTTAATTCCATTTTCTTCCTTTTCCTTGTGAAAACGACCATTTATGTCTTCTTGTGATTGATAGACAGTGAATTATTCTTGCACCACTGTTCCATAATTAAAGACACGAGTGGATAAAGGTGTAATGTCACAAAAAGATTATTTCGAGAAAATCAAGTTTAAAGTTTTACAATTGCATTACGATATATGGCTCATGACATCTTCCTATCTGATAAATAGCCGTTATTTATCAAAATTCTTAAACCGAGCTCACGGAGATTGTCATAGCAGCAAAATAAATCACCAGAAATAATATCACTGGTAGGAACAAGCGCATATATACAGATAGCAGATAAGCACTACTTACCCTGAACATACTACGAATTTACTAAGGGTTAGTACTAGAATGTCACGAAGCTTTGGGAAGAGTATATCCATCAACAACGTGGTGCTGATTCACTAGTCAAGAAGGCAGCCAACCAAATAGTTTTTGGACCTGGCCCGTCTATTGGACTGACAACATAGGTACTGATAGACCTAATTAAAGAACATGTCCTTGTGAAATTCAAGGAAAGATGGGATGAAACCAGAAACTGCAGAGTTACCAGGGAGCTTTTAAGTTATCCTGACAACACTACAGCAAACAACTACTTCACTATGACTAGACATAATCTGCGTCTGATCACAGGTATTAGGACTATTCATTGCCAAGTAGGAAAGCATCTCCATATAATGGGGCTGTCATAATCCGCACCCTGCAAGGAGTGCGAACAAAAAGATGAGACCATTGAGCATATCATTTGATTGCCTGACGCTCTTATTTTATAAGATTAGTTTCCAGCGAGTATTATTAACAGCGGCCGATATAAGAGAAGCGCCTCTTGGCGACGTTGTCACCTACATTTAATCTGTAGACGGACTTACCTTCTAGGATTCCTATTATCTTAAGAGGATACACAATGGGCCTAGTAAGGCCTAAGTGCATAGGGTAACCCACCCTTCACACGATACATATCCAGAAGTACTGTAGGTAGCTGCATGCATTTTAATTGCATCCTGATAGCAATGACTTGGTCCCTCGAAATGAGTTTGTCATATATTTTAAATATTGTTTTATATTATTGTTTATTTACTGTTTTAATTTAAATGGTTTAAAAAACAAAAAATACATTTTAAATAAAAGAATAAGAAATTAGGTGATGCATATTACGTAGTCATTATAGTTAATACTGATTTAAACATTTTAAAAATAAAACATTTAGAGCCAGATGCAAGAACGTTCATTAAAATTTACGAAGAGCGCAATGTATTTTTTTTATGTAATACAAATCTTAAAACTATCTAATTTCTAATTACTACTTAGTTAAATACAACTACTTAACTATACTGCGGTTTTCACAAAATGCTAATAATAATATACCAAACGTTGCTCTACATAAATTGACAGCTATGTTTGACGTTAAACCACCTCTAAAACACTGAGAAAACTTGGCAGTTTTTTTTCCACGAATCACCCATTTAGTGTCGCTTCTTGGGTAGGTATTCTTTGGTCAGGGGCTGGAGCGGGACAAATTTTAGGGTGCTTTTAAATGACATTTAAGCGTGTTAAACTGTCACTAATCGGACTAAACCGAACGCTAAAAGGGTCGTTTGGAGTTAAAAGTGTTAAAGGAGTTAAAGGAACTTGGCAGACCGAACGCAATGCATGTGTGCGAGGATCTGCGAGACGTCACAAATCGACATTTGGCAATTGCCGCGTTTGAGAATCCACATCGGATGCATTTTTTACATCTCGAGCGTTTTTTTATCCACATCGGACACATCTACTACATCTACATCTGCGTTTGTTTATCCCAGATGTACCTGTTCAGATTACATTTTTTACATCTCGATTTGAAATGAGATGTGAATGAGATGTTCGTTCTATGCCTGAAAGTAAGTGTTCTGTGAAGTCTTGTTTGTCAATTTATCCTTTGTTATGAATATAAAAGTGATTAGATTGTTTAATTTTTGTTTATATTTCAAATTTAGGTTGATTTGTAGTCTCAAAAGTCAAATTTAATAAGTATAAACTTCTAACTTGTCATTGACATTTTATCACGTGACCAAATAAAGTCTAGAGCGTTTGTTTATTACATCTACATTCAGATCTAATTCTCTATCACGTGATAAAAAATTCACAACATCTCAAATGCATCCGATGTGGATTCTCAAACGCGACAAATAGCGCACTTCACTTGGCTTGTCACTTTTAGCCCAGTATATAGGCGAGTTCGGGCAGTCAGGGGCTGGAGCGGGACAAATTTTAGGGTGCTTTTAAATGACATTTAAGCGTGTTAAACTGTCACTAATCGGACTAAACCGAACGCTAAAAGAGTCGTTTGGAGTTAAAAGTGTTAAAGGAGTTAAAGGAACGTGGCAAACCGAACGCAATGTGTATACCAATATTGTTCTCTATACTGGGCTTTTAGTCATTTGTGTTCTGTGGCCAAACCGTGGTAAATTGTTCTGTCAAAGTCAAAGATCAAAGAGTGTTCTGTGTTAATGAAAAACAAATTTTATTCCGTAATTTATCGCACATATTTATTTTCGTCAATTGAGTAACCATTACTATTTTATACATTTTCAATAAAAATAACTGCTAAAACCGCATCGAAACACAAGTAAGACTATTTTTATAATTAAGATCACAATATGCCACTCTCATTGACATTTAACTTTTAAGTATTGTTTACACACTGGTTATTTATACTTTGTTTATTCTCGAATTATAAGGCTCGTGCATGTGATATGCCGGGTATATCTAGAAGAGTCAACCCTGCAAAGAAAAACATGGATATAGATAAAGCTATGGACGATGTCGAGAAAGAGGCTAAAACTTTAATCGAACGAGTTCTGGGCGACGTCAGTAAAACCTCTGCTAGCAAGCAAATTATTCTAGGAGCCTCGTCAGGATGGTAAGTTATAAAATACGATACGATAAAGGGTTCATATTGTTTAATAAACTTTTTATTTGCATAAGGTGTGGCTAAAAAAGTACCTATTATTAACCCATTTTACTGATCTGTATCCAATGCATGATCACATGATTAGTTCTATTTATATATAAATATGCTAGTTTATTCAACAAAGAACTCCAGATCCACGAAATATACCTTAAATAGATGCATATTCCTGTCACTGCTCTTTTGCTTCATTAAATTCCTCCAGATGTTCTTTTGAAAACGAAAGTATTTTTTAGGGTTACTGGTTTCCTTTCTATGAGAGTTGGAAAGGTGGCAGCTTTAGCTTTAGGAGGTGGGATAATTCTGCTTCAAATTGCCAATGAAAAAGGTTATATTAATGTCAATTGGGATAAAGTTAATAAAAATCTTGATAAAGTCGCTGATAAAGTAGAAGAAAAAATAACTGGGGAATCCTCAACTTGGATGGATAAGGTAAGAATTTTATTGTATCTTATTGTTGCATGTAGGTATATAGAATGTTTCTTAAACTATATTCCTGGATAAAATTAACATGTAATTTTCATATTACATTTGATTTAAAAATTATTTGTATTCACAGTTTCACTCTAAGAAACATTCTATGTGATGAAATATATAAATAATATAGTAATTTTTTCATTTTTAACTAAATTATCTGCTTTATACTGCATTTTACTAAACGTTTTTCTTTGCTAAGTTAAACCTATAAGTGAACAATACATTTTAGGTAAAGAATTTTGCTAGAAATAATACTCCTTTTACTTCTGGCTTCATTGGTGGCTTTTTAATTGGTTTAGCATCACATTGAGGAAATTATTGTTAAAAATTCTCCCAGAGGAAATGGTTCTCATTTTTGTTTAAGGTTCCATTTGTATGTGTTGAAAAATATAATAAAATATGTGTTTTTTAAATTTCTTGACTTTTGTTGTGTATTTTTTATGCTAAAACTAACATATCTGTATGTTTAAAGAATCTCTATTATTTGGCTTAACAAAACAATGTAATTTTCTAAATAATTCTCTTAATACATATTTAATTTAATAAATGTGTTAAATAGGGTGGATACAAGTTACCCTCTTTTTATTAAAAGTGATATTTTGTATGCTGTAAAGTGAAAATAAAGTTAATTTAGGTATATATGTAACATTGTTTGTTTTTTACTATGTGAATTTTTGTGAGGGTGATACCTTGAAATTGTTATAGGCTGAAAGATATGTTGACAGAAAAGTAGACCAGGCTGAAGGTGTACTTAAGAAGGGCCAGAAGAAAGCTAAAAGATGGTATAATGGTGGAAATGGAGTTACTGAAATGCATATTTTTATCATATCCTTTGTAGCAGGAATAGCTATTGGAGTAGGGTGTTCTTAGACAAATTATTAGTGTAGTATAAAGCAATATACAACGTTGCATAATTATGTAGCTTTACCAATCCTAAGGTAAAATATAATGGCCTTTATTACACTACTGATCATTATTATATTTATATATTCCTTGTTACATGTAATTTGATGAATATTTTGATTGTAGCAGTATTTAAAACATAATTTACACTCAGGAATCTTTAGTAATTTTAATTTTTGTTAAAGTTATATAAAATAACGTGGCCAGATACTTATTGTAAAAAAATGTGAAGTTGGAATATTAGAAATCTTAGTAAAATAACTTTTTTTGTGTAGCGAAAGTAGCAACATTTTATTTGTGATATGGTACATATTAACATGCTTAATGAGTCCAGGAATTTATTTTATGGACCATCTAATCTTGTAATTTTTCTTAGTGTGGTGCAAATAATAATGGTCACTTTGGTATAAAATCTACCTTTAATTAATTTTAAAATTGTATAAAACCCACAGTATACTAAAACACAGTATTGTAAATGCTTGTAATATTAAAAATAGAATATATTAATTATTGTTTTATTTTATATGTATCTACAGTGACTTCCTTACATCTTTTGTTGCTGTTTAACAACATTGCTTCCATCTTTTTTGCTTGTTCCTGCTTTATTTTTTTTGCTAGGTAAGTATCCATTTATATATGTCATGTCAATATCATGACAAATATTTTTATTTTCCAAATACCATAAATAATCATTAACCTACCTGACAAAAACCTTAGAAATAAGTATTATTTTCAAAATAAAATTTCACAGATTTGAATCTTGACATGTTTATTACTTATTGTACCTAATTTGGAAAATACTTTTTTTTTGTAAATTGCTACAGTCATTAATAACCTTTATAAAAGGCCCAGACAAGACAAACAGAAAATAATTGGTTAGACTAATAACAATCCCACTAAAAAGTTGGTAGAGTAGGGACTGTAGGAAGGAGGCACTAGAGGAAGAGCGAAGACGATCAAGCTGACGTTAGTATAAATACCCAAATCCTGGAGAAGTCATATTTCAGTTACATTCAAAACTCAGTTTAATACAGTATTCAGTACTTCTCATACCCTACGCTTCTCCATCCCGGCTCAATATTTCCACACGAGCAACGCTTCTCGTATTAAACAATATAAAAATGCCAGAAATAGAAACAAAAGACGTTCATTAAATGGTCTATTTATCCGATGGTGACTTAATAATTGAATTGAAAATGTATTATTCAATAACGTTACATTTGGGGCTGCCAGATGGACACGCACCAGGTTGCATTTGCCCTTAAACTACCATAAAATGAACAAGAACTTGTGTACCGAAATGTTGACGCACCAATAGCTAATACATTAACAGCTCAGCTGATTGGGTTGAATGACAGTTCGGTCGTCTATATTCTCGATTTTTAAACAGATAATGGGTTCTATGATTGAACGTTTACGTTATCCGTAACGTACATGTTAGGCCGAATTTTAAAAGTAACGAGGCAAGTTCGTATGATGGAAACCTGTTAAACTAGAACATAACAGGCGGAAAATAACAGTAACGTGTTGGAAAAAGTTTTCCATCATACGAACTTGCCTCATTACTGTTAAAACTCGGCCTAACATGTACGTTACGGATAACATAAACGTTCAATCATAGGACCCAATGATAACACAACATGTAATAAAATAATCTTGTATAAGTAGACGATCACAGAGGAAAAAGGCCTGTTTAAAGTAAGTATACATTTCTTTGAATATTACAAATAAGGTAGGTAATTAAAGTCATACTTTAAGTAATTCAATAATAACGCCCTTAAATTTAATAAGTGAGCTAAATAGTATTTTGAATGTATTAATTAGACTAAAATGAACAGTCGTAAGTTGTCTCAGAAATTAAATTTATTTCTTTAATATACAATAATTGAAAATGATTACGAGTAATTCAAAAATTTAAACTCCCTTATTTTAAACATATTTACTATCTTTGTATTAAAATGTCAGCAAAAAACTGTACTTAACATTTTACGGTACGATTTCATCTTAGTCTAAATCAAAAAAAGAAAAAAATGTTTTTTAATAAATTTATCGAAACGTGTTTACATGAGACTAATTTTATATTTACAAATTCGATAACATGTTTATTGGTCAAGTAAAAAATTAATTCTCGGACAGGTCGATTTTGTTTTTTAGGTGCCCTATATGTTTTTATGGCGTCATCACTTTTCGAATTATGACGCCATATAGCCAGTTACTTTAAATGATGCACCCTTTTTTTAAAAATCAAAAATATGTATTTGCTAATTAATAAATTAAAAAAAAATGCCATTATCCATAGAAAATTAAATATTAATCTATATTAAAACACCATTTTGGACGGCATTGAATTGTGAGGGTGTAGTAAGCCATACAAAATATTAAAATCCTGCAATTCTTCCAATCCAAAACACATGGATGCTAATACGTACGTCTCAAATGAAATAACAATATAAGAATAAAATACCTACATCAGTGATACATCACTATGATCAGAACTCGCTCAAATAAATACAGAAATCGATGCACAGACCCTATACCAATCATTATGCAACCTATTCAATTAGAAGAAAGACTAAAAGGAACCTAGTCCGAAAATTTATAAGAAAAATCCAAAAAACCCTCGCTTGACCATCAAAGCACCTACGCCTACTAAATCATTTATTTATTACACTATTAGAATTATAAAATTGCAATAAGTACAAAAATATATAACTAGGTATTTGCCACAAAGATAAATAGGTATTTTTAAAAATCAAAATAGTTAAAAATAATTTCCTAATGTAACCGCCAGAATTCTAAATCATTACCAAATAGCTTAGTGTGGCCCTGGTTAGGTTCTTGGAGATAAACATTTAGTGCCTAAAGTTCCGCATTCGTAAAATTTTTGACAGTGACAGTCTCGTCACTATGGGTTGGCTGAACTGTTTCTATGGCGGTAAATGCGTATTTGTAAGTTCATACGTGACCTGCGACATGTTTCTAAATAATTTTAAAATGCTTGGAATTCAGATCGTTTAAAAGGTGTTCCTGAGTATTTTTAAACTAATTTTTGCATTTTAATAATAAGATTTGTTTGTTTTCGAATTTTTAAAGAAAATTAAAAATGTAGAAACATTCAGAAACCCCTAAAAAGTATTTAGGAAACAGTGGTGTAGGCGTAATTTAAAAGAAAAAAAATGTAGAAAAAAAGGGAAAAATGGAAGGTAAGAAAAATAAACATAGTATTGTTGGCTATACGGATTGTATTATATTTTTTTCGAGGGTGTTTTATGTTTACTCTAGTGGTAAATAGGCCAACGATTAATTGAATTTAACTACGTCACTGTTTGTTGAGCAGCCATTGGTAGGAGTTTTGCGTTTTGCCCGGTTTAAGCATGGCGGCGTGATGGCGGCAAGCGTGGATAATAATTAGTTTTGTGGTTTTTTGTGATCTGTCGTAACCTTTTGTTAAGAAAATTGTATGACTTAAAAAAATATGTAATTTATTCGTGAAAATAGTGTTAAAATAATGTGAGCTGTGTCGTTCATTCACAGAAAAACGACAAACAAAACGGGAGACATCTCTTGGATATTTTAAGTTATGGCGTCGAACGACGAGGGAAGCAATGATGACGAAAATAAAGTTTATTTTGAAAAACAATCTTGTTATGATCCGATACCAAACTGTCCTTCGTGCCCTATGTGCTTATATCCTTATTCCAAATGTGTTTGCAATGTTAACCCCAGTGCGTTTGGAGATGACATTTTAAATAATACAAACTGTGAGTAATATTTGTAAACATGGTCATAAACCTCCTCTTTTTGAGTTCAAAATATGTTAATTTGATGAATCAATCTTTTAATACAATTCTCTTCACCTATTTCAGTTCATTTTGTATATCTTAACCTGTTGTTACAGCCAATTTGACAGCTGGAGATTTTGAATCTATGAAAAATGGACTCAAGACAAATCTTTATGATGAAAATTCCATGGATAGCTACAGAAGGATGTATAAACCAAATAACCCTTTCTTCGTGGACCTTCAGAAGACCCCAATTGGTTTTGATCCAAAGAATTTCATAAATGCTAACTTTAGTAACCCAGAAGGTGACTCAAAGGAAATGGAGTCTTTCGATACAAAAACTGAGATGCCCCCGAAATTCAATGGTGATAAATTATACTATTCAAGTAATGTAGAATCAGTTGGTTGCTCTGAAGTCAAAGCAGATTCCATAGTGACAAGTAATGTTGATAATAAGGAAAATTTTAGCAATGACAGGTAAGTACTTTTACCTAATTTATTTTTCACTTGTGATATTCAAACTGGTAGGTATAAAAGATATTAGATCATCACAAATAGCTGTTAAAAGCTTATTAGAAGGTTGTCTTGCAAAAACCTCTTTTCAAAATTAACACTGACTGCTAGCTATAAAGTAACTCATAGTTTGCGTTCTTGATTAGGAAGCCAACTAAACTTATTTTGCAGTTTGTTTACTTGCTATATTCATGCAGTTATGATTAAATTCATAGTATATCAGTGTAAATATGCATAGATAGATTCTGGGAAGCCAAGAAAAAATGTATGCAAAATTAAGAAACAAAATAGTATTTTAATTGTTTGTAAATTGAGACTCAGTTGTAGTGACATCAGTTCTTTATATTTTTTGTATCCTATAATCATTCAATATTCACAGACTCGATATCATTCATTCCAATTAACAAAAATTAATTAATTTCTCTCTTTAAAAATAGCAGCACTCCTGGGATTGATGGAATAAGTTCAAAATTAATAAAGATGTCATTGCTACATTGTTGAACCTGTTAAACACAATACATTTAAATGTACAATAGTAACACCTATTTTTAAGCAGGGTACTAAGAAAAGTATTTGAGAAATTCTTAGAGTAGGCTCTATATGATTATTTAAAAAAAGCAAACATTCTATTTATAAAACAAATTGGTTTCAAATTATGTATAAACTAATATCAAGTAATAAAAGTAGCTTAGAGCTTGTAATAAATGCGTTTGACACTGTTTCCCACAAATAACTTTTAAATGTTCTTGATAGAATGAACATAATGTTATGGTTACAGTGAAAATAGGAGTTCCACAGGGAACAGTCTTGGGTGCTATATTATTTATGGTTTACATCAATTGATTATTACATTTATATATTGAGGATGTAACAATTTCTATTGTTTTAAAGCAACACATGGAATTTTGTTAAAGAGAGAGTTATCAAAGGGTGGGAAATAATTAAAAATTGTTTAGTCATGAATAGATTTAAAGCAAATAACAGGGATTACTTATAAAAACATTTTTAAAATTAATAAGCTGTAAACACTGTTCAAAACATAATTTTCAAATGTTTAAAAAGATAGCCCCATATTTTTATTCTTAAGTAAAATTGTCTCATTTTTAGGAAATATTAAGAGTCAATAGGGATTTTAAAAATATGGTTGGATTTACTCATTGCTCATCTCAAAAAGTAGCAGTGCTATTTTATCCTAAGCATTTTCATTTTGATTAATTGTTGAAGTATTTCAATTAATGAGATAAAACTCAAAATCTATATTACATATATGTTCCTCAAAGGTAAAAAATTGTATCTCCAGTTTTGTATTAATTACTAAAATACCTAAAACTTTTTTAGTTTGATTAGAAAAAAACTATTTTTTTTCTTCATTGGTAAAAAGTCGTATTTCCAACTTTGGGCCTCATTTTCTCAAAAATTTATAATATTGGAGATTCTTTACCTCTATTTATTTCAATTAATGAAGTATATATAGTTATAATAAATACTAGATACAATATATAGGTTTTGTTAGCTGCACTTTGAGAATTATAATCAATTAAGTATACCTATGTTGTTTACATAACAATATTCGTGATTTAATAGCATAAACAATGAATAATATCTATTGTTTTTTATCTACACATAGTTTAAAAAACTAATCATGCTATTCTGTGCATTCTCGTAGTTATTAAGATAGTAATATAAAAAGAAATAGCAGAGTTTTTATTTACAAATTTTTGGGTTTTTGGTATTCATATCTTGGTGCTAAACTAAAAATATACATCAAACGATAAAGAACTGTATTGAGTATATTAATAAACTGCTCAACAATTGAAGTAAGTATTTTAAGAAATTCTAAATTTTTAGTGTTAATAATTGAAATAAAAAACTTCAAAGAAATTTTATCAAATGTGCATTGATTAATGTAAAGAAATTAATCCTAAATTGAAAAAATAAGGTAGAAATTGAAAATTATAAAGTTATTTTATTGTGAAATTCATATTATAAAAAATTAATATCCTGTATGGCTTGCTGTTACTCTATTTGGAAACTCAAAAACTTTTTTATGTTATAATTTAACTAAAATAAACCTACTAAATCTACAAAAATAAAAAATTGTGAAGTAAGAGTGGTAGATTGATATCTGCACTGTCATAAGATATTTATAAAAATGAGGATCTACTTTTTATTTAAAATCTTCTGAATTATTCAACCAAATCAGAAAATACACATTATTTCTGTAATTGATATACCTAATTTTTTTAACACTGTATGATTTAATTTTCAAAGTACAAGTTAAAATTGCAATGTGGTACTTACTTGGTATAGAAGAATTTTTTCATATAACTATATCTTTTTAATTCTAATCCACACATAAAATTCTTATTCTGTGAATTTAATTTATTTTTAGGCATAACTTGAAAGAGGAGGTCTGCACAAATTCCCAAATAGATACCAATAATTCATTGCCATCAATTAAATCTGAACAAATGAATTCCCAGCAACCCCATTGTTATTCTCCTAAACCTGGCTGTGATTCCACTACTGATGCTGTGACAAATCCAATTGATAGTCCAAATAAAGATTGTAGCCCTCAGAATCCTACAGATGATGTTAAAACAGAAAAAGAAGAAAGTGTTCAGAAACCAAAGAAAGAAGTCTGTCCTCCACTTGATGAACACCTTGATTATGATCTGTTAAAGGGTAAAAAAGGTGTGGACTTACTGACAGCTATTGAAGATCAGTCTAATGGTAAGATGAAGTTAACAGAAAAACAAATATCATTTATAGAAACTACTCTTACTAAAGACTCCTGCTCGCCAAGAAAAGCCAGAACTCGTTCTGTAGAGGACACTTTCAAACCTTTTAAAGGCATTAAGAGAGCCCATTCTGCTGATACGAACGATTCAGAAGCCAAGATACCCAAGATTGATTTTAAATTATATAAGTCCGAAAAAGCTATTACCAGTACCACTTGTGGCCCAGCTTCAAGCAAAAGTGGAAAACACAGGGATGAAAGGAAGTCTAGCAGCAGCAGCAGCAGGCATGACAAGACCAAAAGTTCTTCTAAAAAATCATCACATAGCAGCAGCTCTAGAGACAGACACTCTCATCATAGAAGCGAAATCAGGCCAACTTTACTTACCAATGGAAATTACAGTTACCCACCAGAAGATGTAAGTATTTCTTTCACATCTATTTTTTAAAAACATTATTCTCATAAAACTTGATTTTTTAAAATGCACTTTTAAATGGTATTTAATATTCCATGGCCCATTGAGAGTGCAAAGGTCCATTCCCTCTCTAAAACATTAATTTTAATTTCAACATACCAAGGTTTAATTCAACAATTATTTTTTTTTATTTACCATTTCCAACAACAAAAATGTTTATAAAATATCCTACATTTGCAATGTGTAACAAATTCAATAAATTGTATAATCAGGTTGAGTTATACTCCACAAATTTGCATGTGTTAAAACAGAATGTTATGAATTTTCTTATTAAAAATAAGTAAAGTGCTGAACATTTGTTCATATAAGTATTAAATTGTTATTATTATAAAACACTTAGCTAGATTAAATTTTATCTTCTAATTGGACCATAGGTCTGTTTGAATAATAAAGGATTTGTTTTTGATGAGCTCCAATCTTGTACACAATTCTGCTCTTTATCCCTTTTTTCTTTTATTATTCCAGTACTAGTTTTCTTATTCTAGATCTTCCTCATCTAGTTCTTTGCTAGACTTCTCATGTTCTTTCCTTTTCAAGTTCATTTTTAATGTTTTTTTTTTATACTCCCTTGCTTTATCTGTCTGCTTCTAATCACATTTCTGAGGTCTTTAAACAGATGTGTTCCTGGTTCTTACTTATTCTGGAGAGATCAGTTTTATTTTATATACCAACCCTCAAAAAACTATACCATTTTGTAGCATGAAAACCTGCATTCAAAAAATATCTATTTTATTTGTAGAAATCATTAAAATTTAGAAAATACTACCACATAGAACACCACACAAATGGAGGTGCCAAAATTCTAAGAATGTATCATGATGAGATAAAACATCTGAGTAACAGTGATTCTAAAGAGCTAGCAAAAGAATTCTTTAAGCTAGCTTTTCATGAGGACAAGGATGGTCATGCTACTTTTGTAATAGCAGTAGTCCATGGGTCCGCCACTTATCTCCCAGATATTCTAGCATACATGGCCGATCATTATCCTTCATTGACAGTTAAAAATGGATTATTGAGCAAAAGCTCTGATATAGATACTACAACTCTAGCTAATTACAACGAAAATGTTTGTAAACATTATGAAGCTGGAACTGTGAGATATGGACCACTACATCAAATCAGTATAGTAGGGACTGCTCCTGAAGAAGTTGGGGGGTACTTTCCTGATCTATTGGGGATGCTTGAAGACAACCATTTTCTTCATTTGGTGAGTGGCAAATATATTTTTTTTATAATTTCTATTTTACCTAATTTTTTTTGCAGACTATGCCTTGGGGGCCTTTATCAATATGCGATCAAATGAAGCCAACAGAGAGCAATGATGGGCCTATAATTTGGTGTCGACCCGGTGAGCAGTTGGTACCAACAGCTGATTTAAAGACCCCCATAAAACGAAAAAGGTACTAACAAATTATTTTCTACAAAATTCACTGTAAAAATATATATATTTTTTTTTATAAAATAGGACTGGTATAAATGAACTGAGAAACCTTCAGTACTTGCCAAGGATGTCTGAAGCTAGGGAACATCTATTTGAAGACAGAACCAAAGCACATGCTGACCATGTGGGAGCTGGGCTTGATAGAAAAACTACAGCTGCTGTGGGAATACTAAAAGCCATACATGGAGGGAAAAATGAGGGACCTATCAACAGGATAACGAAGGATGTAGTGGCTTTTTCAGCAAAATATTTTGATATTCTGTCAGAAAAGCTTCAACTTGACCTGCATGAACCTCCTACTTCACAGGTAATTTATAGATGGATTTCTTTTTTATTTTACGTTTACGGCGGTTCATACATGCAAACTTAACACTTGCACACCAGAGGATCTTAGAATGTATGCTGGTACAAGCTAAACTTGGAGTCCTTCTATACAATGTTGTAAATGTGGCTTTAAGAAAAATTGAGAGATAATGTTTGTGATGATGATTTCAATTTTACAAATTTGAATATGTTCCGGTGGTCTAATTGGTAAAGGTGGACGATCCTCGGCCAGTGCACTCATTTTTTTCTTTATTTTCTTCACATTTTCAAAATTTCATACTTACATAATGGTTATTCCTTTTAGTGTGTCACTTGGATAGAAGATGCAAAGTTGAATCAGATGAGAAGGGATGGCATTGAATATGCAAGAATAAATCTGTATGACAATGATATTTACTTTCTCCCAAGGAATATCATCCATCAATTTCGAACAGTAACTGCAGTCACAAGTATAGGTAAATATTAGTCTAATATTTAGGCGGTACGCTACTTGCGATTTATACAGGGTATCGAAAATAATGTATTACTTAAAGTGGTGGAATACAAAAGCCATCGAGACTACTTTTTTTTGTGAAGTTGACTTGTGATTTATTCAGGGTTTATTGTCAGTTAATCCTCTCATTTTTATGTAAACTCATTTTTAATTAATCTTTGCTGTTTTGACAGCTGTTTTTACTACTTAAAAATAGTGTGATATTTTTTTATATTGTATATGCTTTATTAACGGATATTTTATTTTAAAAAGTATAATTTTTTTTTAAATCAAGGCAATATTCTAAATGATGGAGCTATGTTATATATTCAAATTAACTTTTTAAAAATCCGAATAACTTTTACATTTAATAATAATAGTAAATACTAATAAAAATAAATAAAAATCGATAAAAATCGATAAAAATCAATAAAAACCAATAAAAATCATTAAAATAAAAAAAAATCGATAAAAACCAATAAAAATTAATATAAAAACAATAAAAATAAAATCAATAAAAACCAAAAAAAACAAAAGTTAATAAAAATAATCAAGATTCCATATACTTTGATTTTGTTTTTTCTTCTAGGCCTGATGATGTATATTGGCCGAAATTAGTTTCCCTAAACAATAAATTATATTTTTTGTTCTATAGTTTTCCCTCTCTCCTTCATAAAAACTGTATCCCCCTGAAAGGAATGCACTATTTTCAGCCACATAATTTTTTTTTTAACATTTATTACTTTTTTAAAGCTTGGCACGTTCGCTTGAGACAGTATTATACTACTGAGGAATTGGAAGGAATGGAGCGAAACGTTCCTCAACCGCTAAAGCAAATAGAACCGGCAAAATCTGAAAAAACTCCGGCAAAAATATTAAATTCCCACGACGAGGAGAAACCGCCGTTGAAAATGAAATTCAAATTAGATTTCAGCAAGTACACGGGCGTAGAAAAAGTTAAGGTACACGATGATAAAAAGGAGAAAGAGAAGGAGAAGAAGCATAGACACAAAGGTGATAGAGACAGAGAGAAATCCAGACACAAAGACAAACATAAGGATAAACACAGAGATAAAGACAGGGACAAGGATAGAAAACACCATGATAAAGATAGAGACAAAGATAGAAAACATCACAATTCAAACAGGCATGATAGAGAACACAAGCACAATAGTGAAAGGAAACAAAGTTCTCATCACAATTCGCATAAAGATAAAGAGAAAAATCAAGAATCCAAAGTAATTAATTCTGGTGAATGTATCCAAACTGGACAACTTTCTAGTATGCCATTATTAGGCTCAAATCAAAATAGTCAAAATCATACAGAAACCCCAACAAAGAAGCCACAGGAATATCAAAATTCCACACCTTCTAAATCAGCGGATGCCTCTACCCCATCGGCCGATACTCCTGTCAAAATGATGGACACACCTGTTAAGTCAACAGACACCCCAATAAAATCGACAGATACGCCAATTAAATCGACAGATACTCCAGTTAAGAAGCATAGGGAGAAACCCATCAAAATTAAGATCCAAAAGCCTCAATCTACCGACGTTCTTGGAGATATCTTGAAAGATATGAATAAGTGTGATCTTAATATTTAATATTAAGCAACAGGTCGAGTAAAAAGTGGATTTTAGGAAGGCACCTTCTAAATGTCACTTTTTATTCGAACTGTGCTCAGCATAAGAGTTTTCTTTTGTTCGTAGAGGGTTTTATAGATTTATAAATGAGACGAGTTTATTTGTGTTTTTAATTTCTAGTGGCTCATTAAATGGGATTGCTTTAATTCTATTAAGTTGATCATAATAAGAGTTATTGGCATTTCAATTTGCAAAGCTACTGATTAAACATAATGAAACTTCAGGACAGAATTTCTGTATGCCTTTGATTTTAATTATAGGTTCATATGAAATAACATACAGGGTGATTCAGAATACAATAAACTCAAAAACATGTATGTCTACATTGATAGACCTAAATTAGGTAGAAACATATTTTTTTATTACAGATTCTGTTAAAGTGGACTTTTTAAATACCAGTGTATTATTTTTTGAGTAGCCTCTATTAGTACCAGGGTTGGAATAAGTCATGACCTTTATAAAAAAAAGTCAAAAAGTCTGAATACTTTTTTGAGTTAATAAAAATAAAACTTTATTTACTAAAACAAAATACAAAAACTAAGTTTTTCTACTCTTCAAAAATCTTAAAGCACAACAAAGTATGAAATTTTTGTAAAACAAACTGAAGCTCAAATATGACCAAGAAAATAAAATATTTTTTTTTTTTGCAATTGTTGTCTACTTATAAATATATCCTATATAATATAAAAAAATTAGCCAATTTTGCTTACTTATATTTAGAACCAATGACAAAATTTTCCCTTGCTAGTTTTTCAGGTAAAATATGAATCACCCTATATGCAGTATGCATTGCAAATTCTTTATTTTATTTTTCTAATTCATAATTATAATTTCAGTTACAAGAGTTAGGTAAAAAGTGTAATTATAAAACAATTTAATTTTTTTTTTCTATACTTTTATAATATTCTGCCGAACCATATTTTCGGGCTCTTCCGTCCTTTCTTTTACCATGTCTTATTAATTATTTTGTTAGCCTTTCATTTGGAATTCTTTTGACAAGATCATTTGAGTTATTTTTCTTTTATACTATTTTATCTTTTATCATGTTCGTTTCTACAAATCTCATTTTTTCCCCTGTATGCTTCTTGAGAAATCATTCCTACCAAATTGAAAAATGTTTGTTCAGTTTTTTTTTTTTTTTTTTGTTTAAAAGCAGCGCTATTTAAATCTGGTAACTGTAAGATATTATTTATTGATTATATAAAAGAAAAATGAAATTTAGAACTTGCATAGCATGACCACTACAATTTCATTTTCTACCAACAAAGGAGCTAGATTAAAATTAAAGCTATACTGACTGGACTTGTCTGTAAAAATTTAGATCGATTTTACAAATTGGCATGTTGGTCCAATTCGATGTCCTTTCAGTTGGACCAACATACTAATTTGTGGCTTTATTCCAATTTTTCACAGGTACATCATTGATTGAGCTATAAAGAAATATTTTTTGGAAAATAATCAAATGTATGGACAATTTAAAATGGTTTTAAAGAGATATATCGCCATTTTCTTAAATAAAAGAAAATTTTCCGGCAGTTATTTTTCAGCTTTTGTACATACGTTTTTATTAAAAAATTTCTAGAATTATTATATTCGAAACTTATATAATATTTATTGTTTGTGTTTTTAGTTAAAAGGTCTATATTATATACTAAAAGTCTGTACATACTGTTTTATGTGAAACATATTTTAATACATTTTATAGGATCGCTTTAAATAGATTTTGCAAGCACTGTTTTTAAAATAGATTTTTATACGCAGATTTTCAACGATTTTTCGAGCTTTCTTGTATTCAGATCATCAAAAAGTTTTCAATTAGCCATTTTAACGTCCTGTCACTCTCATTCAATAAGGCGGATGATTGGCACACAAAATTTGTTTATATTATCATCCAAGTAATTTTTTATTATCTTAAAAATGGCAAATTTGTGAGCTTGAGAGTGGTTATAGAACAAAAATACTAATTAGTACATTATTTTGATTTCAGTTTTTACTTTAACTACAGTTAACACAAAAGAATCGATTTTCACATTGACCATACTTGAATTCGCCCACAAAAATAAGTCCCTACCGTCACTAATTCTAAAAAAAAAGTCATTACCTAAAAATTCTCAACACTTATTAAGAGTACTTTTAATACTGCGGAAATCACGTCCTAACATCAAAGGACGTTGCTTAGGGCTGGTCGGAAGCTACGTCGATCCATTTGTACCCATACTTCCTTCAATTTATGGTACCGCTGTGTTCTATCTTGAACACTACTTCGGTCCATTTGTTCTAATTTTTCGTCTATGGTAACCTTTCTTCTCTTCATTTCTCTATGATTGTCCCATCATCCTCGACGCTGCTTGGATTGATCAAAAACTGCATCGATCCTTCTGTCCAAAATGTTCCTCTATTTGTGGTAGTGGTGTAGCATTGTATTACTATTATTAGTCTTTTTCCAATACCTTGTCCCATCATCATGGACACTGCTTGGGTTGATTGGAAACTACATCGTTTCTTAGAGGCTGTCACTACCATTCTTCTTTTTTTCTCTCCTAACCTTATGGACACTAGCTTAGGTTGATTGGCTACTTTACCGATGCGTTGTCCTATTATATTTTTCTCTATTTCTAATATCTCCGAATATCTCCCATTTTTTTCCAATATTTCATTATCCAATCATCATGGAGCCATTAAACATATTTCACTCTAAACGTTGTGTGCCAATGGTCTGCCATTTTTACTGTCAAAATATCATGTGCCTAATTGTTTAGTTATTTGTCTCAATTTAAATTGTATTATTAATAGAAAAAACATTAATTAGTAATGAAGAAAGGCAAAAATGAGTTATTTTTTCTCAAAAATTTGTTTCTAGCTAAGTATTGAAACAAGAAAATCGTAGAAACAACTTAATTTTTATATAGAACTAGTAAATTGTTCTGTAAAATTTAGTAGCAACAATAAAGTAGAAAAGACTTTCAATTTTGCCTTCTTCATTGATCGTGCTCAAATTATTAGTCTCACATTTCAAAAAATAATTAGTAGCGTTGAAAACTGGTTGGTATACAAACGTGATTTTAATTTATTAAAAAAGTGCTATATTAGACTTGCCCTTAAATCTACATCTTTGTTAATGTGTGGGTTTAAGTACTTAATATTTGTTTTAGTAATAAACATTTTTGTATTAGATCTCAAAACCATCCAAGCTAGACTATCAGTTTGATTTTAAACAGGGTCCTTCAAAATGATTCCCAATTCAACGAATTTTCATATATTGCATTTTAAATTGAAATAATTTGACACTTATTCAGTCAACTTGGTTAGGAAATCTAAGTATGACACTAAATTTGAAACTATTTCATTAAAAAACAATTTACTACTACAGTTTTGTAGACACTAAGTGTGGAGAGAAAGTCGCAATGTTTAGTAACTCCTTTATTTTTTTATTTAAGCGACACAAACCTTTTCCATTACGAGCTTTGTGGATATTTTGTTGTAGTTAGTTTTTTTTTTTAACGATTATATATAGCTGTAATTTGTTAAATTGATACGCAAAACATTTTTTAATTCGACGTGGTTTGATTAGTAGGAAATGAAAACTGGTACCACTATTCTTGATACAACCGTTTGCCAGACTACTCTTAACATTTTTTTTAAAAGTGAAAATGTTTGTTTTTCATTGATTGTTTAAGAGTACGAGTTTTTTTACCGTAATTAATGATTCTTTACTAATTATTTAAGCATTTCCTATTAAGATTTGTTTTAAAATTGGACAAGAGTTTTATGGGCATATTCAATTAATTTTTTTGCTTATTTTTCATTCAAGAATTTTTTAAATTATTTACATCTACTTAGTCTATAAAAAATAACCATTATGAGATGTATTGTAATTTTTATATTTCTATAAACAAACGGCATTTTTTATACACATCATCAGTAAACGAGATTCTTTTTTCTTTTTAACACATTCACTTCATTTTTCTGAATCCAGAAAAAATAATTTGATCAGAAGATGTACTTTTGACAAATTACCAATTGAATGTCAATTATGCGAAAAAAACTCATTCAACAATTTGCATCGACGACAATCTTAATTTTGGTCAAGTATTAACGTACCAAACCAAAATTTTGATGTTTATTTTTATTTTAATCTTTGTGTAGAAAATATATCGTAAAAACAAATATATTAATAGTGGTCTGGCAAATGGTGTCAAGGATAGGGGTGTCATTAAATTTGTATTTCCTATTGATCTATTGTTCAACTCATATCCAAGCATTGATTGCAGCTTGGACTAATATATAAGTTGGTATAATTTTGAAGGGTTTTGTATAACGAATAGGACAAGTGACACGCTTTGCCTGTATTTCATAATTTTTTATTATCCTGTAAGCGTGATTTAAAAAAAATGGGCGTGTAAATATGTACAGGTGGGAGTATTGTAATGTACAGTTTTTTATATAGTGAAAAACTCTATGCAATGTTGTATATAAACTAATTAAACTATATAACAATGTTAGAATGTATTAAGGATATTTTTTCATATCACAGCTGAATTTAAATAGTCGTTTTCACGTTTACAAATGCATATATATGTTTTTTCCTCATATTCTAAACGAATTTTGAATCTAGAATTGATAAAGACGGCCATAGCAACAAGAATTCTTTAATTTCAGTATTAGTTAAATTATTATTTTAAACCCAAATTTCGATATTTATTGGTTGAACCACGAGGCACTAAAATATTTTTTGGAATTTACCAACGATTTTTTTTACAATAAAAACCCCTTAAATTATATTTTCAACCAAAGACGAACATACTTGTGTCCTATATCATGAAATATTTTAATTTTGTAAGTACCTGAATATTTATATTGAAATTCTTTTTATATACATTTTTTAAATAATTTTGATGGTAGTTATTGTTTGCTTAATACTCGAGATCAAATTACAGACAATAAAAAATAACTACAAATTATATTTTATGTATTTACTACAAATATGTTTTTGTGTAAATTAATTAACAAACAAAGAGTACTATCAAGATTGCTGAAAATTAAATATGGAAGCGTAGTACAAAAATATCACATTTTGGCATAAAGGTGTTTTAATTATTATTAAATTTTGCCATATTTTTAATTTGAAAGTTCACGAACATAAGATAAGGTTATTCTTTTAAAAATAACACTTGGACCGTTCAGTGGTTTAGTTACACGACTTCAGATCGTAGACCAGATCATGTGAATTTTTAAATAATTTGCATGGTTCGTTGTAGATTTGATGGATGCCGTATTGTTGATATGACATCCAGATTACAAATCACGGTTCCTTACCATTTCGATCATGGTGGGTTGGGTTTTCCTCACCTGTAAATCAAATGGCACCATCAATCATCTGTCTTTTCGGAGTGCTACGGCAAATAATAAATCCCCAGTCCCACTCGACTTCAAGGGTTAAAATTCACTCGTAAGGGAGTGATAAGGAGAGTATTATTATTAAATAATATTAAAATGCTGACGATTTATAACGAGGTACTGCTGTTGTATTTTGTGGTCCATTCTGTGCAAGAAACACATTTATTTATAGTTGTTTTATACAGTAGGCCAATTCAAACGGGAAATTCGACAATTCTGTATGTGTCTCTGGAAACCGTTTACGCCGGCTCGTACATAGAAAACTTAACACTGACAAACGAATGAAGGATCTTAGAATTTATTCTAGTACAAGCTGGACTAGACGTTCTTCTATACGATGTTGCAGGGCGGCTTTAAGGAGAATTGAAAGAGCTGAGGGGTGGGAAGAATGTTTGTGCCGGCGAGAGTCTGAATCTGACTCTTTTCTTTATTTCTCAACTTTTTCAATTTTTCTTTGGTTTCTATTTTTACTATATCGAGAGAGATGAAAGTTTGATGAAAACAAATGCAGAAATATTTTTATTTCCAAGAAGCATTAGTTAAATTTGTGAGTTTGGGTCCAGAGCGTTTAGCAATATCTTATGACGAGTGAACTTTGATTTGCTACAGCGACATAATTTTTTTTTATAATTTTGTTTTTGAGTGTAGATATAAGATCTAACCAGTTTTATTTATTTTTTTAATTTTAAGGTACTATGATTATAATGTAAGTGACATCGTTTTTGCGTGGCAATTTATAAAGTTTCTACTTTTTTTTGTCGTCAAAAATCAAATATGAATGAACTGTCATTGTCGTCTCCAGTTTATATGAAATAACTTGCATTAAGGGTGTCTAGTATTTTTATGATGTGATAAATTTTAATATGTTAGAGGTTTTATTTCCTGTTTTATTTTTAGAAACACATGAATATTTATATAATAATCATAAATTTAAAGAATATTGAATAGTCTCGTAGATAATGTCATTAGACAGAAACATTTTAATAAGTTTTAATTATGCATCACATTTTTCACATTCCACACAAGTTCTAAGTTTTTGCAAAATGTGCTGTAAATTCTAACATCTTGGTTTTTGCTTGTTTTTCCTTACCTACGTTTTTGTACAAGAATAACATGAGTTCTTACTGAAAATATTTTAGCTATATAAAGTTTCATCGATGGACAGATCAATTTTTTGTATTCTGTGCAAGTAAGGTTTTAAATGTCAACCTTTAATAAAACACATTTTAACACTGATCTTTTATTTTCTATTCCTGTGTTGTGTTTATCTTCAAACCTAGACTAGCTACACTTTGGAACTCTCTTCCCAAACAAGAATTTCATGATCCAAATATCCAATCCTGCATTCATAAGCTATAGCTACTTTCGCAGAGGATGTATCAATTATTTCTAATGATTATTGAAGTATTGATATACAGGTACGACTTTCATCTCACTCCCAATCGCGCTTAGGTGGTTCACCTTTAAATTTCCGCACCTCTATAAATAAAAATAAAAAAGCGCATTTGTAGCACATTTAAATAAAATGTACAAAATAAAAAGCAGAAAGATTAATGGGGTTATGTTAGTTAAATCCATTTATTATCATAACATTTATGTATTGTTTACTAATCTAAGTAATAAAATTTGCTATTTTTTTAATTTGTCTAAATTGTTGGCTTTTATGACATATTCTATGTTTTGATAACAAATTTTAGAGAACTTAACAAAAGTGTTAAGGTATTACTGGTATTTTTGAGGAGGGGCGCGCGGCCATGTGGCCTTAAAGAGTAGCCGCCCCTGTTACAAATATAACTTTTATAAAACTGTCGACATAGTGTACGATTTACCTCTGAGTCTGGGGTACTGATAAACTTAAAATAAACTAGAATGGCATTGTATATTATACTCTTCACAGTTTAACAGACCCCATACTTGACCCCTTTACTCCAATTTTAATCAGATTTTTTCGGAATCAAGAAGCTTTATCCTTATAGAGTAGATTTTTCCTGAAGATTTAGTTTATATCGTTTTTTATTTCAGAGTTAGGATTTACTTTAATATTTCAATTCCCTTAACCCCCCATTTTTATTCAGATTTTTTTAGATGCAAATAAACTTTAATCCCTCATAGAGCTCGATTTTTAATAAAAATTTCATATTGATATCGCTTTTCGTTTTGATTTTATCGTTTTTTTAATTTTAACCCCTTAGATTTTTTCAGAATCAATAAGCTTCATTCCCTTATATATAGAGCTTGATTTTTACTAAAAGAAACTGAAGAATTTAAAATTTCTACATTTCTTTATCTAAAATCTACATATTGCAACTTAAATTCAAATAGTACTAGAATTGTACTAAAAACGACTCCCCGTTGAACCGTACCAAAAATATCGCGAACGAACTAGATCTATACCAATAGTACTATTTCTGGCAGCACTGTAGGGGACCTGGGGTGCTATTTTCAAACTCGAGAGAATTGATTTCTCTCGAGAGAAATGTCATACGTCAACGTAAAACAGTATTTTTAGGGTCCTAAGGGCCAGTGTAAACTCACTGATTGTTTCTCACGGTTTATTTAGAGATAATTAATATCCTCCTAAGAATTTTAATCCTCGAGGCCTTTAAAAACAGCGTTTCCACATTGACGTATGACATTTCTGATGAGAATCTTGAGAGAAATGAGTACTCACACGGTTTGAAAATAGGTCCCCTGTTATGTCAAAACGATGGAAATACAGTTTGTATCCATATACTTCGATTTTCTCTTACATCTTTCCTCCATGTCTCTTACTATACGGAGAATGGTTGCACAGCGCACAGCTTTCTGAGTGCCTTTTAAAAGGAGATAGAAAACTCCGCCATTTTGAACACTTATTGCGTGTTGCCTACATCTTGGCGCAATAGTTTTAGTGGTTATGTAATATATAATATTTACCCAAAGTCAGTGGCCAAAGATATTATTTACAGACCTACACTTTACAAAACCATTAACAAATAATGAATATCTTGAAAACCTTGCTATACTTGGTGATTTGATGTTAAATCATTCCATTTATAAGTAACAGCAAGTACTTTAATTATATTCCTGTTGTATTCTAAATGTATTTTATTTTTCAGGTCTCTTACGAATTTCGAGCACATGAACAATGTTTTCAAACCATTAATCAAATTGTTTAGAAATTATTTTTAGCTAAACTCTGTTATGTCTGTTCTCAGCATTTTGAGGAAAATGTTTATTGCTCTTATGTAAAAAGGTATGTGATTAATCATGAAATAATTCTTTGTAGAAGGCAAATATCAAGAAAATTGAAGCATTTACTTTAATAGATAGGAGCAGTATTAAGATCAAATGAAATAATATAAATAAACATGTAATTAATATTGTTTACTTTTTGGAACATTTATATTATAATAATTGTTTTCATTTATTTCAGGTTTACTACCTCTGGCTCATCTACACACCTGAAAGTAGAGGTAGCTCATAGCCCCTCTCTGGTAAATACTTTATCTGGAACAGTTAGAAAATTAACTGTAATATTTTATTTTTTATTTGGTACAGTAAACTGTGTAACAATTTTGGATAAATGGAAATTTATGAGAAGCAAAAGTACCACTGATCCACGTACATTGATTTTGTACGTTAGACATACACAGGAATCATAAAAGTAACAAAAACGTTTTTTAGAGCAACCATATGTCGACATCCTTTTTACAATATTGAGTCGACGGACTATGAAAAGCATAGCTAGACCATCGATTGCTATAGAAGCAGAAAGTAGGGAGATATGCAAGAGTTTTAAAAATGTACACTGGCAATGTAATGTTAATACAATTAACAAACCTGTGTGATTTTTTTACATTCGATTTCCTTTTCTGAATATACACCATTTCTTTGCTTGAACTTTTAGAGGGTATAAATAAAAGTGTCATTCTTTTTATATTTTAAATAGTTGCAGCTTGCCTGCAAGCGTATATTGCTCTGGTAATAACTTTTAGTTAGAGCTTCTTCAATCTCACAATTCTTTGTTTTTATTTTATAGATTTGTACCATATTTATAGCTGAAAAAATGCAAAATATAATAGATTGTTTAGTCTCAAAGATTTTTATTACATTACAAAAATAAAATGTTCATGGAACTGGCGAAAAATATTATAATATTAAGGTAAAATCATATTGCACAGCTTTAGAAATAATTTAAAACCACTTACCTCTATTTCAAGATGCACTCGCAATTATAACTTTACTTCAAAGAAGTTTCTTGTATATTATTTAAAATAAATAAACGTTTATTCTACATTTGTTGCCTTCATTTAAAATCTCAAAATGCCAATATGTAGGCTACGAGTTTAACATTTTGGAAAAATGTGTTGCCTAACCTATTAGTAATTGCATCAAAATGGCCGCGTCCTATGTTGGGTGTGTTGGATGTCTCTCTTGCACCGTATAAGGCGAGTTCGGTCAGTCAGGGGCTGGAGCGGGACAAATTTTAGGGTGCTTTTAAATGACATTTAAGCGTGTTAAACTGTCACTAATCGGACTAAACCGAACGCTAAAAGAGTCGTTTGGAGTTAAAAGTGTTAAAGGAGTTAAAGGAACGTGGCAAACCGAACGCAATGATAGTAATCAAAGTATGTATTTTTATCTAAATTCACGTTATCAGAAACCAGTGTTTTTTTATTTATTCAGTATTTTCCAAAGATCAGTAGCAAACAATTTTTTTTAATAAGTTCAAAGCCACATAAATTGGAAAAAGATTACATGAAAAATATAATGCGGTTTAAAATAAATATATAATTTAACAAATTAAACTAACAAAATAAAAATACAACAATTTAAGTAAAGGTTTTTCTGACAAAAACTGCAAGTATATATCTACAAAAAACTAAAGGGCTATTGGAACAAGTCAAACCTTGTTCGTTAGTTTTATATACAGAGAATTTCAATGAAATATTACATTCAAAGAATGCTGTATTTTAAAACTGAAACAGCATAAATGAATAATCTCAATTTTTTTTAATAAGAGTTCGTTAGTTTTATGCTAGTATTATTAATATGCAACCAAACATACAACAACGTATATTGTATTGCCTAAGTTGTTTCTAGAATGAGACCATGTTGCACGATCTGACGCCCGAACACCTGAATTAGTGTCCGAAAGGAACTTCCTTTCAAGGCAATATCTTGAAATTTGCAATATATCTTATTGTAATCCTAGTTTTAGACTAGTATTGTAAATTTTAGCTACACTTACTTTTATTGCCTATTTATTCTGTGTGAACAAAAAAGGCATTAATTAATTTGGAACACGTAGCAAAAAGTGTATGCGCACGTGCACTGTCGCCATTGTGCCAAACACCACCAAACATAAACTGATTTTCCCTTGTACTGAGGGGCTATAGCCCTACAGTGGGTTGCTTTTAGGAAAAAAAATACAAAAATTAGTTGAAAATAAAGTAAAGGGGGTCGTTATCTTAGGAAAAAATAGAAGAGGATGAAAAGAAAAAAGGGAAAAAAGTGTAAACAAAGCGCAATAAACGCAACTTCCAAACGATTCATCCCAGACAACACACCAAATCCCAGAGATATCCACAGAATATCTTTTGTGGATATCAAATATATCCACAGAATATCAGAAATATCCCGTGGATCTAATATGGGTATCCAAATGTCCGTCTATATCCAGGATATAGAAGATAATCTATGGATATTCAGCAAAATATTTTATGTAGTAGAGGTTCATAAGTAACAAGTAACCAATGAATAGATCCTATAGATAAAGAAGGAAATAATTCCAAACTCAAATGTGACATTCTTGGACCGGTTTCGTCCTTATTAGGACTCTTCTGCAATTAATAGAAATTCTCGACTCCAGTCTCTAATGGAGTCTGATTGCAATACCAATTTCTGTCGAACTCAATTACGGCGGGTTGAGCATGAGTAGATATTCAACTACAAAAGTGGTGTCGCCATCTATACCTACTTAGCAAGCAAAATCAAAGGTCGCTGCAATACCTAGTTCAGAGACTAGGTGGAATAAAAGCCAGGCGGGCTATTCTTAAAAATGGAAGTAATTCTAGTCCTAATAAGGACAAAACCAGTCCAAGTATGACTTTCTTCTTAGTGGGCAAAATCAAAAATTACATCTAGTGGATATCCACCATGGTTTGCGTTCGCGTCTAGACTTTGATATATTTAGTGGATGTCCATGGGATATTGAATACACTTAAAAAAAAATTAATTTTAAATATCTGAACGGTACCATTAGCCACAATGGCGTAATTTATTGATAATTTGCTATATAATTACTATTATTTATGGACATTTGCATGTCTATAAATTACATCTCATGGATATAAAATAGATATTTACCATGGACTGGACATTCAGTGGATATTGGGATGTCCAGTAGATATCCAAAGGATGGTGTGCTGTCTGGGACTTTCTACACCTCTGGTGTACATTTTTGTTATATATTGATAATCTAGGAGCTTAAAATTCGGCTCAATTATAATACGCAACACAATTCGTTTTAGTGCGTTTTTTTTATTAATTCTGACATATATGACTTAATGTGACATATATGACACACAAAATAACAACATCTGTCATACTTATTACAGTTACTTCTACTACTAATCATACTCACCTCAATGACCTCTTATCTAAAGCTATATTATATTAAAATTCGGGAAAAACCCTATTCGGGGAAAACCCCAGTGAGACAGTTAATGAACGAAGTGTTATCTACTCTATGAATCATTTTTCAGAATAAACGCAATAAAACATAAGTTGAAAAAAATTTAAAAATCAAAATTAATGTTTTTAGGAATAAAAAAAAGTAAAATCAGTACATTAGTATACAGGGGCATAGCCATGGGGCATTTTGGAAGTAAAACCCTTCCTCCAGTTTATCAGAAAATATAAATTAAAAAAACGGATATTCAAATAATTGAAATCTTATAAAAAATTATAAGTATATGTATTGTTTCTCAATTTCAAAACCGAAAACCCTCCGTATAAATTTTCTGACTACGCTACTGTTAGTAGGACGAATCGTCATTATCAGTAGACGATGTCTGAAATCAGTAGATCTACTGAAAAGTCGTAGATCTGGTAACACTGTCGGCAGCAACTGTGCTCGGTGTTGTCACAATAAATTGAGGTTATGTGTTGTACAAGATTTCTTCACTATTTATGTTGTGATGAACAAATATTATTATTGTTATTAAATGGTTAATAATTATCAGTTTTTGAAGGAAAAGAAGCCTTATGAAGTCTCAATGGTGTTACCTCCTACGAGGAATTGGTTAGACAAAAAAGTCTTAACCGAAATTAAATAATTTTCCAATTTAGCAGGTGACAACTGATCAGTATTTACAACAAATTGTTTTTTATTTTTTTTTATATATATTATTAAAAATTGTGATCACTATGATGATTGATATTCCAAAAGAATTTAAGAAATACTCCAAACATTGTAAAAGCTTAAAACGTATTATTCAAGATACTCAAAATTACTTCGAAGAGATTCATAATTCTCTACAAGTACATGGTAAGTTACTATACTAATATACCTATATTTTTGAGTTCTACTTATTTGTTTTCAGACGAAGTGAAAGAGGAATTGTTGAGAATAGATATTGAGAGAATCAAACCAAAATTAGAATGCACCCCAACCCTTTTTGTATTTGGCCAAAATTGTCATTCAAAAGCACTGTTTGCAAATGTTCTTTTGGGACAAGCTATTCTACCTTTATTCAGTTCGAAATGGAGATGTGTAAGTAAATATTTAATTTATTTGCAGGCTGAACATATTTTATAAAATATATTACAGGATACAAAAAATGATGTCGCATTTTTTAAACTATGGTGCAATGTCGTTGTTTTAGTGCTATCATTAAAATGATTTAATTTTAACAAATCTAGTCAATGAATACAGTTATCTCGACAGTTATTTAAAATATTCTAAAAACACAAATATCAAGTTCGATTCCTATATTCTCTATTTAATACCAATTTACATTAATATTCAATATAAACATTGTTTGGGTGACAACTAGAGCTGCAGTAATTAAGATTTGATCATATATAAATGTTCAAATCCCAACAATTTCGTTGACTCCTCAGTAAAAAAAACTATTTAAAGTCCTGAAGGGACTTGTTGTCTTAAGAGTAACTATTCTGAATTAAAAAATTTGATCTGCTAAAATGAATGTTCACCATATTTTTAACCATAGTATTTAAATTACATATTTAATACTGTGAAAAAAAAATAACTAAAACATTGCCCTAGGAATGATAACCTCAAACCTCCATGTACATAAATTATAACTTGATAACCGACTTTTTATGGTTTTCTTTTTTATCAGAAATTGTTTTTTATTGCTAATTTTAATTTTTAAACTCATTTATCACATATTACTTAATTTTCTTCAAGCTGAGTAATGATTATTTAAAGATATTATTTTAATTTTGTAATAAACTCTATAATTTGAAATAAATGTATGTACTATAATGAATTTTTAATTGTATAGAATTATATAGTAATTATTTTTTTTTGTTACTTAAAAAGGTTAGTGACTGTCTTAACAAACATGGAAGTCATAAAGTATTAGTATTATTGGGTAATAGGTTACTTCTTTATTAGGGTGCCTATACATATACATACAGCATTTTGCTGTATTGTACAGCATTTTCAAAGTCTGTCCATTATTTGATCTTTCTTTTACAGTAAAATGCCATTAGTGTCCAGCAATGTAATAAAAAAAGGTCTTTTACATGACTCCTCTGTTTTGTAGTTATCTTTGGGGACCTTAAAAGGTCCTCACCTCTCTAAAGTTCATCAATGTTGCATTCATAATCAGTATTGGGTTAACAAAAATATGGTTTTCACCCTACTTTATTTCTATGTTCTCTAGACATTTTTGGATTTTTAGTACAATACAGCTTTATATTTGTTTTACTGTATTACTAAATTACATGTTAGAGAAAAGAAAAATGTTAGAGGCTATAGAAAATATTAAACTGAAAATTTGTCAATATTTAACATGGTTTATATTATCCTTTGATAATGAAAACTTATGTTATTCAATAATTGAGTAAGATAAGCTGATAAAAGAAGGTCCACCTATACCAAGAAATCATTGAACAGGTCAGGACTTATAGAAGGTTATAAGAGGTTGTAGAACTTTTATTTATTTATTTAACAAGTATCACAGTTACAAAATATTACAAGAAATTATTATAAATCATTGTGAAACTAGCTAAGGCAATATATATGTCAATTATTACACAAGTGATTTTCTGAATTGAAGAAAAATGTATTCTTCCTATGCTTCTTTATCATTGTTCAGTTTATACTTTTTCATTGGCATACATCCCATATGTTCTTATATAACTTGAATACACTTGTAATCGATATTAATTTTGTTTATTAACTTAACAGTGTATGACTCATTTAATTTAATTGATATCTTCATAAAACGCATATCAACTTGAACTGATCTTTGAGATGAAATGGTTTTAAATTTCAAAATTATGTTTTCCTGTTACCTTAACTACACCAAACATTATTTTTTAATACAAATATGGGTATTTTAGTATTTATTTTACTTAGTTTTACAGAGTAGCTCCTGTTACAAAACAAGAAAATATGGAAGAAGGTAAAATATAGCTAGAAGTTAACTTAACGTCTAATTTTATTTCACAGAATATTGAGTAGTGGTTTCTCCTATGAAGGAATGATTCACAAATATATTTAAATAAATGACTACCTAATTTGCGCCAATACGTTTTATCTCTTGTTAATGTCAAATAATTAACTATTTCTTTGGAACTATCATAGCATATCGCAAAATGAAATAAGAAACGACGCCCTTCCCTGGTTTATAGCGCGCTGGTCGAAATGCACGTGTGTGCCAGAAAATGAAGTTTTGGAGGTATGCCTCAGGCCATTTATGTAATAAGAGCTCACAGTGATAGTTTGTGATTTTTGTTGCCGTCGGTCATCCGTTTCGTTTTTGTTAATACGTAAATAAATATCTATATTTTTATCTCAGAATTATAATTTATCTACAAGAGGACACTATATATGGAATTTATCTCTATCCATTTTGTTTAGCTTTTAGAGAGAAAATCAACGCCGCAAACAGCATCTTCCTAACTCAAACGCTTTCCGAGTTATATAATAAAAAACCTGATTTTTCTGTTAAAATTCATACAAATTACTAAAATCCTCTTCTCTGCTCTTACGAACAATTCATCTGATTTATTTGCCCATGAATCTTATACGGATTCGAACCAATACGTCTCATAGAAAAAATATCGCATCCGTGTTTGGTGAACGTGGAGACCTTTTTGTTTCAAAAAGAAAAATTCTAATTCGAATAAGTGTGAGTTTATATAGCAAAATTAAAATATCTCAATAATCTTCCACTCTATTTTTAGACGAAATAGAGCAGCAGCTTTGAATAGAATTAATTATACAAGAGTCAAAAATGAAAGCGAACTTACATGTTCATTTTGCGTCATTCTATTTAGATTTTTTTTTTCATCTACATGGAATGTCAAGGTTACGAATTTTTAAATTTTATTTTAAAAAGGTTACATTTATTTATGGTCTATCGAAGTCGATTCGTCTGACCTTGAATCAAGACATAGAAATAGTGGAGAAGCTGCAGGCCCACGAAAAATCATGGATAACGATACCTGAAGCTGACTTGCAAAGGAGCGACAACGAATCACTCTTGGATCATTGTCCCTCCTTGGAAGTTGAACTGTCGCACTCGATTCTCAAAGAAAACGTCAACATTATGGTACCGCCTGACTGTTCAATTGAACAATTATCTGAAATTTTGTATAAATATATGGATAACGTTTTGCCGATCGTTGTTTACGCTATTTCCGAAGGCATCTTGAGTGATTCGGTAAGCAATGATTTACTTAATAATCGTGAAAAGTGACATATTTCGTTTATGTATGAAATAAGGTAAGTGGTAAACTGTTTAACCTCCACTTTTGCATTTTAGAACATTCAAGAGATCAAAAAGTTAAAAGATATTTACAAAGTCCCGTTTTTGTTTGTAAGTCTAATGACCAATGAAAGAGTCAGCACGGAATCACTAACAGAATCTGAACAACATTTATTAGAATCAGAGAGTCGACAAAAAATTTCGAATCTACAAAATTTACGTGATCAACTATTAAGACTGGGTAACTTCGATATGCGTAAGCGCAAGCGCAAAATTTTAGTTTCTGTGTTATTTTTTATTGTAGGATTTATAGACGACACGGAAAACTCAAAGACTGACATAATGAAAGCGAAAAAGAATTCTTTGTGCTTGGAATGTTCATTAGATACGTTAATAAGTGATAAAAAAATTAATGAAGATTTCCTAAGCCATATACAAAATGTTCTGAAATACACCGTTTTAAAACTTGCTGCCAAATTGAGTGAGGTAGGTATGCATTTAATACAAGTATAGTTTTTAATATATCTTATAGTCATGCATCTAATAACGTCCACCTTTATGTTATGTTGGGAATGGAGTGTTAATACACCGCGACCTAAAAGATCTATTGTGCCCCCTTCTGTCGCCAATGCACCAAATAAATGTCTCAATGCCTATAACGAACCTTCCAATCCTATTTTCTCAAGAAAGTGTAGGATTTAAAGTGGCCTCAAGTTAGGTAAATCTTCTTCTATTTGATATCCTCCTAGATATAGTGCGCTTGGATTCTGGAGTGCTACATATTCAGTTAGGATGTGAATGGAGGTTTCGTCCTGCTCCTCCCAGAATCTGCACTTACTATCCTCTACTACTCTCAGTTTACTTAGGTGTCCATTTAGTCGGCAATGCCCGGTAAGGAGCCCTGTTACAATACGTAGCCTGTTCTTGCTCAAGAAGATACAGGCTTCCGATCTTTTCTGGTTATATTCACCCAGAAGTATCTTGGCCTTTCTCCGCCCCAAGAGTTTGTTCCAATTATCGGTTCTTCTACTGCCCAATTCTTTTTAATCTCTCCTAATATTATGTTACTGCTGATACCGCAGAACGGCTGAGGTCCTACAAACAGTGTTTTATCCCCTTTCCTTGCAAGACTTATCTGCAATCTCGTTACCCTGTAACCCGTTATGTCCCGGGACCCAAGTGAGAGTAACTCTATTTTTCTCGCCTAGCTCATTCAATTGTTCTAGGCATCTCCAGACCATTTTTGAGCTGATTACGTAAGAGCTCAGCGCTTTGATGGCTGCTTGACTATCGGACATGGTGATAATCTCTTGTCTATGATAGTTTCTCTCGATGTTGAACTGGATACACTTCTCGATGGCGTGAATTTCCGCCTGGAAGATGCTTGGGTATTTTCCCAAGCTTTCGGAGTCATAAACTCCTATTCCAGTTCCTTCTATGGTTTTGGAACCGTCCGTATACCTCTGAATAGCACGTCTTTCGGTTTCAAGCGCGATGGATTCTTGTCTACATTCTTTCTTGCAGCCCAGTTTTGTGGTTTTGAAGTTTTTCACAAAACTGTACTTCTTTAGCATTTCATCCTGGGGCATGCCCCAGGTATCTTTAGTTCTGAAGCAAGTAGACTTTTGTCTGATTACTCCGTTCCTGAACATTCTATATCGTGTCCTTTTTGCCACATTCTGTATCATCAAATGTGGAGGGGTGAGGTTTAAGATCACCTCCATTGCGGCCATAGGACAGGATCTCATTGCACCAGTAATGCAAACACAGGCTATTCTTTGTACTTTTGAGATGTTAGCTCTTGTAGTAGCTAAACTAGTTCTGTTACTCCAGGCTATAGCCCCGTAAGTGATTGGTCTCACTATTGCAGTATACATCCATCGCAGTATGTTTGGGTTACATTCCCATTGTTTGCCTGCAATGTTTCTGTATACCATTAGGGCTTTTGTGGCCTTATTTTACTACTTCCTTCTCATGTGTGTTCCAAAGAAGTTTGTTGTCCAGGGTTAGGCCTAGATATTTGACTTCATTTTTCCATTCTATATCTATCCCGTCTAATTTAACGGTTTTGAGATTAAGTTTTCTTTCCCTTGAAAAGGCTACTAGTGTTGTTTTTGTAGGGTTTATACTAAGTCCCACTTCACGGCACCATCTTTTGGTATGTTCTAGTCTTCGTTGGACTATATCACACAGGATATTACTAAACTTGCCTCTAGCAAATATGACTATATGTCGTCGACATAACCTTGACAGGGTATGCCGAGGTTAGTCAATCTGCATAGAAGTTCGTCTACGATTAGGCTCCACATTAGTGGTTGTGCAGATGGAGATGGTGTCCTGTCCTATCTGTCTCTGCAGTTCTCGTAGATAACAGCTGAGCCATCCATCTGGATGTGATGTTATTTACTCCTCTGTATGCAAGTGCTCTTTTTACAAATACGTCCACCTTTAGTAGAAGAAAAGTTCCCATGCCACCTTAGCTTATTTATGTGCCGCCGTAAGTGAACACCGCTTTCCTAGATCAATATGTTTTTTTAATCTGTCTGTCCTTTTTGTAAAACAATAATTAACTATTTTTTAGTCATATATTGTAGCTCTAAAATATTTATAGTCAAACTACATTGCTTACTGGCACTATCTAAGTGTATTTCAGCGTAATAAGGATAAATTAATTTATATTTTGAGAAAATGTAATTAACGTAAAATAGATTATTTCAAATATTTCCTTTCTAGGTACACAACAAATCCCTTCGACAGTTTATACTTCGGGCATTTGATATGGCCCGTGAAATTCAAATAACCCCCAAACGTATTGAATATGCTCAAAAAATTGAGTTACAATTATACGATACTCTTATGAACATAGCTTGTGAACAGCAAGAAGAAATCACGGCTATCATTCAGCGAACGCTCTTAGATATGAAATCCAACGTTGCCGAAGTATTAGAAGGATATAACCATCCAAGTAAGCATTAAATAATATTCGTTCTAGTAACGGTATAATATTGACCTTGGTTGTAGACAACGGTCCTCAAAGAACATCAAAAACGGCGACAATAGAAATCCAACAATTGGTCTTAAAAAGACTGAATACCTCTGTGGCGACTCAGATAGTCCAATCTGTGGGTTGTCTACATGAAAGTTTCACAGGAACTTTGCAAAGATGCTTGGAGAGTCTCGAGAAAAATTGCAGTGAGTCTGAAGGGAACCTCTCAGCGTCTGATGCGGTCAGGCAAATAGTTAGCGCTGCTTATAATATAGATTTGAATTCTTCGTCATCTTTTTCCATTATGCATACGTTAATGGATCGATTTAGAACCATACTGTCATCTTTTGTATTGCCTTGGTCTTCATCTGGTCACGTCCAGTGCAATTTTCAGTGGCAGCTGCAGGTTGCTACCAATATGATTGATAAACTGAGTGCTTCAAAACTAGCTAAGACCATATCTATACAGGTACCTTTTTAAATATATAAACTACATTTTGGCACACTATTTCCTGTTACGATTGCCCTGCTCTGATGGCGAAACTATATTTACTTTTTGATAATAAAGACTTTATATATTATTAATCCTCAACAATAACAGGGGTTACTTGTGAAAAATTAGAATAAAGCTACAAATGGCCCAATTCGATGTCCTCATGATTCTCTTTTAATTATTTTCAGAAGTGACGGCTTCCGATCTAAATATTGGGGGTTCACAATGACGGAATATAGATCCCAGTACAGATTTAGGTAAAACTTAAACACTAAAAGTTTTTTACCTAAATCTATACTGAGAAGATTTATTTTCTGTCATTGTGAACCCTCAATGTTTTGGTTACAAGCCGCCACTGGTTCCCGGGCTATCTTTTTTTTTAGTGGTGATTTTTTGAAAACGCTGCGCAAATGGCTAGTCTAAAATTAAAAACGCTTGTTCTGTCTTCATCTAGATGTTTGTGAAAAAAAAAAAAAAAACCCGAGAGTACTACCCCCTAAAGCGTCCCAAAGAGAGGCATGTCTTGTCGTTGAAGGCCACGTCACCATTTCGCGAACACTGTGACGTGAACCGATGGTGGTGTTGAAATATTTCAAATATCGCATTATACCTGAATAAATATACTTTACAATAGTTTTTTGTTCGAATCAATAGCTTGACCAGGGAATGGTGGGCGCTCAAAATCGGTTGATGTTTGTAAATTTTATCAGAAATACCCCTATTTTATTACTCTTAAAATTTCCCTTGAAACCGATTAGAAAAAAATGCTTCCCGACAATAAATCAGACACCTAGTTCATGTTTTCCAAAGGGTGTATTTTTAATGCGATTAAAAGTCAATAAATTAGGAAAAATTAAAAGTTTTAGAGCGCTGCAATTTTGCAGGTATATTTAAATAAAATGCTTTGATGGACATATCTGAATTTTAATCGAATCATAATCTAGCTCGTCCGCTAATAATGAAAAACTGATTCCAACAGTGCTTTTATTTAATAAATTTTGAATAAAAGGCCAGAAGGAAAGATTTTGTATATAAAAAGTATTGGAAATTTAATTTAATTTTAATCGCGTCTCAGTCATACAATATTCGCATTAAAAATACACCCGTTGGGAAACATGAACTATACTATATTTCTGACTGATTGGAAGCATTTTTTCAATCGGTGCAAAACATGGAAACAGGGTCTTCATGATTCTCTTCAGGGCGCTCTAAAGCAGCTATATTCAACCTTTTTTCCTTCGAGCCACATGTTACACGGACCGCAACATTTTTGGATGATGACCCTTTTTTATGTCATTTAAAATTAGTATGGACCTGTAATAAACAAATCACAAAACCTAAATTTATCCAAACGTTTTTGTCATTCATTTAAAATTAGTTAGTGTGGACCTGTAATAAAGAAAAGGCAACACCTAAATTTATCCAAACGTTTATTTAAAAATCAGCGTGAGATTTATCGTAGCAATTGATGAATTTTTTCGCACATATTGCTCAAGATTTTAAAAACTTAAAAACCCACAGTTTAAAAAAAACGCCTTCCTAATAATAGTGATTCTAGTCGCACGTAAAAGCTTGGCTTGGTAGGTTGCGTATGGCTGCTCTAGAGGGTACTATAAATCCTAGATAGTACTCTCGAGGTGTTTTGTTACCAATATCCTCTAGATATGAAGACTAGATAAGAGTTATTCATTTTAGACTAGTCGTTTTGACAGCGTTATCAAAAAATCGATTTAAAAAATGCAAACAATACAGCAATTTGTAATGTTATTCTAATTTGTCATAGGTAAATCTACTCTATCTCCTGGCTTATAATTCAATGATTAAAAAGTTATCCAATTAGCTGCTACGTGTTTTAAAACTAAGATGTTCTTTTAGTTTAAAGAACACATTAAAGCCTCCCACGAGGCATTCGTATCCGCTATTCGATCTTTGGATCACCAGTTGTCCGACCAATTAGAACAAACTGAGGAACAAAGGATAGCGATACGAAAAAAGCATGCTCCAAGATTCGCCAGGTTGGCCCTAGAAAGTACGTCTCTTTGCGATTTGATACGCTATGGTATGCCTAAACAAATTAAAGAAATAGGCAGAGGGCAATATGGAGTGGTGTCTTCTTGCGAACCTTGGGCTGGAATTAATCCCTGTGCCTTTAAATCTGTAGTACCTCCGGATGACAGACATTGGAATGATTTAGCTATGGAATTCTTCTATACTAGGTAAGATTTTTTGACGGAATAGAATAAAAAATGTTTATAATTTAATTTTTGTTAAAAGGACTATTCCAGGACATCCTAGAATAGTAAAACTTAGAGGATCCGTAATAGATTACACGTATGGTGGTGGTAGTTCTCCAGCTGTGCTACTAGTAATGGAAAGAATGACTAGGGATCTGTATTGTGGCCTTCGTAGCGGACTGTCTTGGGTTGTGCGATTAAAAATAGCTATAGATGTTATTGAAGGAATTCGATATCTTCATTCGCAGGGATTAGTTCACAGAGACATTAAACTAAAAAATGTTCTTGTAAGTAAACAATAAAATAAGTCCGTATCTGCAGCTATAAGTTCCAATCCGTTGAAAAGGATGAAGTTTTGGCTTGATTATCTATTGTATTATATTGAAGTGTATCCTTTTAATTTTAGTTGGATGCCAAGGATAGGGCGAAACTAACGGACTTCGGGTTCTGTATACCGGAAGCCATGATGTCTGGCAGTATAGTTGGCACCCCTGTTCACATGGCGCCCGAATTATTGAGCGGAAGGTACGATTCTAAAGTTGATGTGTACGCTTTTGGGATTCTATTTTGGTATATTTGCGCCGGCCAAGTTAGGCTGCCCACTCATTTCGACCAGTTTCAGAATAAAGAACAGTTATGGAACAGCGTAAGAAGAGGTAAGTTATGTTGTAGTTGAACCTGTCAATTATAAGCAGTAAAAATATCAGGAATGTGTAATGGGGAATGCTGATATCTGTCGCGGTTTCAAAATTCGTTGACACTTTTGGAGGTTACGGGCAAGAGGAAATGTTAATTGTGTTTTATAAAATATTGTTAAGCATTTTCAAAACAAAAAAAAACATTTTAGTCTAACACTAATGCAGGATATTCTTCTAGACATTTAGCCATGCATTCTGGAATTGAATTCTGCCTCTTTCACATCTGTACAGAAGTAACATTCGATCATTTTTGCTTCTTGCTCTGTGAATACTATTTTTAAAATTTAATTTTCCTAATAAAATTTTTGACATATTTGGCACAGCTGTACGTCGGTACCAACCCAAAACATTTTTTTACTGCCTAAAAAATGATTAGCCATGTTTAATAAATTGGTATTCGATTAGGAATTCGACCAGAATGTTTGCCAAACTTTGAAGAGGAGTGTTGGAATCTGATGGAGCAATGTTGGGCGGCAGACCCTGCGGACAGGCCTTTGCTGGGTTACGTTCAACCGCAGTTGGAGGCCATCTACACCAGTGTTAAGAATAAATGTAGTAATTCTAAAGCGTCTAATTCTATCGATAATCCTTCCTAATTGATGTAGATATATTGTGATTGGATTTAAGTTTGTGAATTTAATATTTATTTTTATAACACCTATTGAACGTGTTTTCATTTTTTTTTAAATATTTTTAAACGAAGATATGTTGTTCTCGATTATGTTTTTAAAGGTTTGTGATAAGTTGAATATTTTCTACTTATTAACTTTTATCAGCTGTAACTGACGGCGGATATAGATACAGATAGCTTCCAACAAGTTTAACTATTACTTGTCTGCTAGTTTATAAGTTACAAGGTATTGAGAAATGATCAAGTGTCCTCGTAACAAATTTTAAATCGAATAAAATTATATATACATGTAAATAAATATTTTTATTAATGAATTGTTTTTTTGCCTTGTCGAACCTTTTTCGTTGAATTTAATAAACACTGGTTATGGTTAAAGGACTTTATTTTATATATCCGTATATTTTAAATAAAGTAAAAATAAGAGGGCTAAGGTTAGATCACTGAAGATGCCATGAAAATTAGAAAAAAGTAAAATTGATCTATATTTCTCATCATTGCACTTTTCTCCACTTTAAAAACAGGACAAACCTTGGCCTCTTTCCATCTGGTTGGAAACTACAGTGATTTCAATGATAAATTAAACACAATGGATAATACAATACACCAGCACGATCTTTAACGAGAAATGATGGAATACCATCCAGATCCATTGTCATTTTTTCACAGCAAAAAATATCTTTTTAACCAATTTTTGACAAATTAATAACATCCTTGGACTTGGGATAGACGATTTTACGTCTCCTCCGAAAGACAGCATACCGTACGTTATGCTTTGTACTCATTGATCCAAATATATATAGATTTTTACCGATAAAAAAATTATTTTTCGCTTTAGGTCTGCATGGCGGTACAACCATTATTTGCACAATGCTTATTTAAAAAGAATTAAGCGCCAAATTGGAGTTTTGAGATATTAGAGATGATAATGCTTTATTAAAATAACGAGAGTAGAGAACTCCAGCTTTGTAAATTAGTATTAAATAGTTAATATATTATCATACGCACAATTTTATAAGTATATTAAGCTACCTAGAAACATGAGTTAGAAGATATTTTTAGCGGAGGGTTCCGTTTATTGAAATCAGTAATTTCTGTTTGGATCATTGCCCAAAAAATGGCACTAGAGTAGAGCCAGTAATTGGATCTTTTTATACAAGATAAATTAAACCTTCTCCTGTCAATTGGTGCCTTTAACTCATTTTTGCCAATTTGTCGCTGGGTTCCTTTTAGATAAGCATAGTCCATTTTATTGTTGTATTTTTATCGTCCTTCCTTTGTTATTCTGCATGTCATAATAATCGTTGGCCCTCCAGTTCTCACCGTCGTCGAGCATTATTCTGTTGTATCCTTTTCTTAGGTTATGTCCTTTTTCTTCCGTGTATCGGTTTAGATATTCCCATTTTGAACACCTCACCGGCTGCCATTCGAATACCTCGTAACCCCAAAATTCACATTTTACAAAATAATATAAAGTATACGAGGCATTAAACATTTTTTATTTAGTTTTAAACATTTTTGTGAACTACGAGGTTTTCTGTAAGTTGAAGAATGTCTTCATCATATCCAAATTATAACTGGAGACGCGGTAGCTGTAATGGCCTGGTGTGCAGAACAAGATGAATTTTCTGACAAGTTAAACGAAGATTATGTTAAATAATAAAATATTTCGAGTTTGAAATGTTGTTTGCTTTTATAGTAGGTCAAGAATTTATAAATACACCCTCGTAATATCAGTATAGATTAAAAATTAGTTTTCGATTAAAATAAAAATGTGTTTGATACAAATCTGTGTTATCCCTTTCTGTTTTGGTACACAAGAGGGTGTGTATCAGATAAGGATTAAATCCAAGATGTAATTCCAACACTAAGTCAATTATTCTTCAATTAACATATGTACATGACGCCAAAAGGACATTAAAACGCGGTTTAGCGCTATCAGACACACGACCTGCACGTGTGGTATCCTGCCAGGATATTCGCCGCGAATCCTCGCTAACGCACCCTCTTATGCCTACAAAATTTATTTTGATATCATAGCATTAAGGTTTTTAACTTGTGTGTGATTGAGAATTTATAGTGGTTGATATGGCTGTGTTTTTGGAGTTTGTTGCTTTATCACGTACCTATATTACGCTATATGCCAAGTGTGTCGTATTACTTTGTCGATACGCTTTTATTAAACTCGTTTGGTTTCATTTTTATCGTTTATTTCTGAAACGTATTTTTTATTGAGAAGAATACTGAGTTACTTGTATTTAGTAGTAAACTACAAGAAGTTATAGAACATTGACAATTTCAACGCGTCTAAACCACAATAACCACTATCCTGTGCTTATGAACAGTCAGGTTATGCCCCTCTCTCAAATCTACAGTGACAAAAGCTACTAGCCATGGATAGACTGCGCGTTACATTAGACTAGAATATCACCAGGTGTTCTTATTGAGGTGAATTCTTGGTTCTTGCATCCACTAGATAATTTGTATTTGGCGAGTATTGGCTAACTCTAAGCAATAACAAAGCAGGATAAGAGAGATATACTCGAGAAGGATGCACAATGGGTCAAACGAGGTCTAAGTATTGTTTGACTAAGCCTACTATTCCAGTTATACAGGAACTTTCGTATATCTATCGTGTGTGGGCAAAGGAGTATAAGTCAAAATTTTGGGTAAATTAGTTTCAGTCATCTATATTTAGTGTAAAACGTGGGATAAGTCAATACTTTCTATTAGGGTCGCTATTAAACTTTTTTTTTGTGGGAAAATCAGTATAAGTAGACTTATAAGACTTATAACATACTGTAACGATAGTCTATTTTATTTATAGTTTATTTATTTAAAACACTATTTACAATTTATTTTAGACGTACTAATTAATTTATATAATACTTAGACACTACCTAACAATTCTAATTTATTTATTACAATTTAACTTTTCATTCTAATACTCAATACTAAACTAAACTGTGCGCCGAGGAGTACGGTTATTTATACCAAGTCCAACTCTGCTACGAGAAGTCTCTAGACGCTCCCGAAAATTCCATCTCTGATTCAACGGCACGCATTGCCCGTTCTTGTATATTCGAGACGCGGTCCGACTGTCTTCACACGTCAGCGTTGCTTCGGCCATGAATCGAGTAGCATACTTCCAAGGTCGCTCTTACACAGGGTTGGCTCCGCGTCAGAATAGATTTACTGAGCTTCTAATTTTTGACTTCTACTCTTTTGCCTACCAACGATAGATATAATAATAACAAATATATTGCGTTCTAATCAGCATGTACATGAAACATTCTACTCTACAATCGGAAACTAATGGCTAATTGCTTCGTATGTATACGGTTCTAAATGAAGAAGATAAGGCGATAGAACTGCACATAACTAAGCTAGAATGTATTGCAACCTTTAAGTAGGGACAATGTAGTAGAAGTATAATATTGTAGCAGATTACTCAATATTCAAAAAAACTATTTTAGAAACTGTTTTCTTTTTTCGTCGAAAATAAATGTGTGAAACTAAAACAAGATAGGAGTGAGACCACTTGTATCTAGTAGAACAGTGTTCTACCCTGCCCTGCCTTCTGCTTCTTGTTTAAAATATTTTAATAAGAATACAATGAGGGCGTGTTTACTATTTGATTCAATTCGTTAAGTCTCGATGTATAATTTTTGTGTAATTGCAGGGGCAAAATGAGACAAGGAGATAAAAACTTTTTTATTAACATAATTTACGTCGTTATGCCCTAGAAATACAAAGAGATAAAAAATCTTCCGACTTAAATTTACATATTTTGATGAAAGCTTTGCATATGAGGGCAACTCAACTCGCAATTGCCATATCTTTAAACTTGACGTCCTACAAGGATTATTACAGTCTTTTTATTCCTTTATTTGTATTCAACTTTTCCACTGATAAAGATTTTTCAATTTCGTTGAGTTGAGCTTACCATTTTTTTCGACATTGCTTCGGTTTTTAAATAAAAACCAGATGTACGGTTATTCGTAGGGCACGTAAACTGCGGCGCTGCTGCTTTCACACACAGGGTGTAACTGTGGTTTATAAAATACAATTCGCTGGTTGGCAAGAATATTGGCACAACTCAAAAAACTTCAATTCGAGATAATCAAGTTTGATTAAGGACGAAACTTGATAAGTGTCAATGTTAATTACAGAACTGACGTTGTTTCTGTATAAAAAATGTATCTTTTCAATTATCTTGATGCAATAATCTCAGAATTGACGATTTTTGAATTGTGCCAGTATTTTCGTAAATGAGGGAATTAGGAAAAGCAACTTCGACAAGTATTAGCTGCTATTCAGTAACGTACATCGACTTTTATGTAAATCTAGACGTGTAGAAGTCTGAAAATGAAGACGAATGGAAACGAAGATTTATGAAAGAGCTAGAGAGATCTAAAATAGAGTAGGTACAAATTATAGTTATAGCATGCAAAAAGAAAACAACTAACAAAAACGACTGGAAGGAGTTAGTTAAAAATGTTAAAGAACAATAGTAAAGTTTTTTTGTGTCAAACCCTTTATAGACAATAATAATCTGGAAGGTTGAAGTGTGTGGGGTGGATACACCGCTGTGGTGTGACAGAAGAAGAAGAAAACCATATAAATATGCTCTCCTGGCATATGGGAGTATATTTTGTTTTTCTATCCAATTCCAAAAACAAATGGAACCATCCTCGTATTATCACTATACAATAAATAATATGTTATAAATAATGTAATACTACTACAAAATACTACGTGGTATTTTAAGGAGGATTTTGTTTCATGAAATTTAGATGCATTTATTTCCAAGAAAACAACAAAATATTAAAAAAAAATTCTTACCTCGCGTGGTATTTGAAAAGATTATTTAACAATATTAACAGAACTTTAAATTGTTTCTAGGTTTAAGTATACTTTAAATTTTACTGTTTTTCGACATACTTAAACATTTTAAATTATTGAGTTTTTATTTAAACAAGCAAAACTATTTTTGTCCATTTTTTGTCACTTTTTTGACAAACCATTGACGTTTCGCATAAATCATTAATACGTTACTCTGGTAATGAATTAATTTTTTTAAATCCAATCGAGATTAAATGGCGTGTGTTGAAAAAAAGAGGACTGTTGCTAAAATATCCTTAATCTGGAATTTTTAGTTTCAAATGAACTGTTTTCCAGTCTTGTGATTTTGAGTGTGTAGGAGTACAGCGCAGTTTATCGACAAAAACCGCTAGATAAAATGAAAAAGTAATTTTCTTACGAGAGAATTCATGGCAAGGTTGTTCAATCG